GAAGGCAATATGCAAAAATGTATATTTTATGAAAAAAAAAAATAAGATAAACATTAATATATAAAAGTTTCAATTTAAAAAATATAATCACATATAATTTGGAGAAAAAAAATCACAATATATAAATATTATGGATAAAAAATTCTGTTCTTCAGCCTCATGGTTTTCAACCTGCATCTCTGAAGGTACTTCCAAGGGTTCCGTGGAGAAAATGATATATAATACTATTTTTTCCCCTAATAAGATCTTCTAAATATTCTCCCTAAATTCTCCACAAATTTCTTAGTCTTCTGTTCAAAAGTTTGGGTTGGAAGGATTTAAAAAAAAAAATTTTTTTAAGTCTCTTATGCTCACCAAGGCTGCATTTATTTGATCAAAATAAAGTAAAAATTGTAATTACATGATCCTTCAGAAATCATTCTAATATGCATATTTAGTGCTCAAATTTTTTTTTTTACTATACTGAAAACATTTGTGCTGCTTAATATTTTTGTGGAAACGATGATACATTCTTTGATTTATTTGATGAATAGAAATATTTAAAATATATATATTTTTTTTTGTAACAAAGTAAGTCTTTACCATCGCTTATGATCAATTTATTGAAACCTTGCTGAGTAATATAATGCATAAAAGTTTTACAGTCCCAAACCTTTGGACAGTAGTGTATATCGCTTGCCCTTAGAACACATACTGAAGCTCAGTGATTAAACTGCTTTAGTAATTAATTAGTAAGTTTGGTTAAAACGACACCATTAAAAGCAAAACATCATGACAATCAGCTACAAAAATGCTTTATACAGGGTCAAAAATTGGAAGCGCAGTGTAAACATTTTTTTAAATAAATAATTTCAACAAAAAGACTTTTATTCTTTCAGCTCTGACGGACTACATACCTAGCTCTATGCGCTGAGATGCGGGCAGATTCTTGGTCAGGGAGGTTAAATAGCAGAACAGACCCTGATATGCCCGCAGCAAGCTGGCACACATGTTCTGGTGCAGGCTGAAGGCATGCTGTAGGCACTGATCCAATACCAGGAAGGTTTTGCCCTGCAAATCATGAAAGAGGACTTGATGCATCACTGATCGTTGTGTGAATAGCAAGAGCATTAAGAGTTTTTGCACTGTGATAATAACCAATTCCCCTCAGTGATACAATCTTTTACATTTGAGAAAAGTTTTGTATTTAATGAAGCTATAAAAGTGAACTCTAGACCTCACAATGGTCCTTCAGGTATCTGGTCTCAAGAGAATTTCTGTAAGGTAAATATCACATCATCTCATTTACATTAACAGCTCAAGCCTTTTAGTTACATGATGTCTTATTTATAGACAGATTTAAAGCTCTCACTGATATGAGAAAATCACTGCCTCTGTACTTTGCTTTGCAAATGCAATGTCAGCAAAGTGTTTTAGACTAATTGGAATAAAATGAAAAATACACTTTAGTCATTTAGCTAAAAAAAAAAAAGAGCATTTGATGTCAATGAAACCTGTGAAATTAATACCTAATATTTATGTGTCTAGACATTTGATCTCTCTTGAACATTAGATGTTGTATTGGTTTAGTAAGGATATTTGTGTGTGCTTGTATTCTTACATCTGGGGACAGCTGCTTGACGTAGGTGGTGCCAAACACCACAGACTCCAGCGTTGGGATGAGAGAGTCTTTGGTCTGTGCCGGAGCATTCCGATTCAGCCATGTGCTTTTGACTGGCCGTGGGAAACTGAGGGGACAAACACAGACAGTCAAATACAGTACACACATTTCTACTGCTTTTAAAATAAAGGCACAATTTTGATAAGTTGCACCTTTTGAATGTATTTTTCTCCTCACTGTAAAGACTTTTTATGTGTTTGTCTGTCCTGGGAAGCACAACTCACAACTCTATATAGCTCACAATCTACTGTCTTCACATGTGACATATTCAAAATGACTACTATGATCTGTAGGTCCAGTTCTCAGTGTACTGCTGACCTGATTAGAGGTTGATGCAGAGCCACCAGTGATGCGTGGATAGTGGCAGAGATGACAGACAGGTGGAAGTAGTCAAACATGACATTGACGTGCTGATGAATGCCTCTGTGGAGGCTAAAGTGCAAACGCAGTATTCGACTGCTGATGCTCTGGAGAGAACTTGGGTCCTCGGGCCTGAACACAGACAAAGACAAACACTGTTATATGTGAAACAACTGTTTTAGGTAATAGTTTTTGTTTGTTCAAATCCCTAACCCTAAATATGAGCAACAATAAAATCTTCCTTAAAATTTAAAAAGTTTTTTTTTTTTTTTAAAACAACATTCAGTTATTCTTCTACATACGAGTAGTCGCCATCGGTGAAGTACAGGTCCAACGACATCTGAAAGTCCATTTCATTTAAGGACTCTTCCACCTGCAGGGGAAAAAATACTATCACCACCATCACTAGCGATGCACACAGAGGCAGATTTGATCACTGAACCCTTAGTGTGCATGTTGTTTGAGTCATGAGATTCGCTCACCTTCTTTGCATCTAGCAGCATCATCACTTTGAATACGAGGACGTCGTTGACTACAATCTCCTCGTTTTTATAAAGGATCTGAAAGGTTTTGCTGCAGACCACATCATCTTGAACTGCTGCTGGGAAAGCCAGATCCGAACCTGTGAGATAATACATATTAAAAGGGCATTACAAAGCTCAGAGATATGTAACAGCCCCTTGATTTAACGGAAATATCTGATGCTATTTTTTCCATTTTAAATCGTTCTGTTGTCTGAAATCTTTCCTCCTTGTTGTGTTTCCGCTTAATTTTTGTAAATATAGTGTGACAAATTGCACCAACGACGATGTCAATGACAAACTTAATTAGTGTTTGTGCATCTTTCATCTAACAGTTATCAATGTCAACCCACACGCTTTTCAAATATAAAGCTAAAAAATAAAAATAAACAAACATCCAAGCATACAGACTGCCCTGATACTTCTATGAGGAGAGAATATGAGGAATCGCTGGACAGATAATGAAGCTTCTCATCACATTTCACCACAGGGTAAGACATTACACACTCCAACAAACACAAAGCCTGTTAAAGTGCAGGCAAAGATTCTTTCAACCCACTGTCAAACACTGTAGGCCCTGAGGTGAATGTTGATGTAATATTAAGAGAGCCGTAGGCTAAAACTGTTAGAAAGGGAAAGTTAGATGTTTATCTCTCATAACTGAAGATAATCTGCATTCCTTTGAAATACACAGCCTGAAGAAACCTCTGGAGAGGTAAAACTAATAATTTATCTGGCTGACACATTTTATTTGTCTTTAGGAATACAGCTTCAGCACATTCACATTAATGGCAAAATGGAATGAGGCATCAGTAAAAATCTGTTTGACCAAACAATGATCCAGAACTCATACAATAAAACTAAGACTGACATTGCAAACTGCTAGCAGCATAGTTTCCAGCTTAAAGGGGTCCTATTATGCTCTTTTACAAAGTCTTGATTTTGTTTTGGGGTGTACTAGAACAGGCTCTCATACTAGGTTGTTCGAAAAACACATTATTTTTCACATATTTTACATTATTACAACACCTCTCTCCCCAGTCTGGCATGAACGGCTCGAATAGTTCCTGTATCAAATGAAAGCCCGCCTTCTGAAATACGAAATGTGCTGTGATTGGTTAGCTGGGCCAATGTGTGTTTTGATTGGCAGCACTCGGCGCCTGGTCGGGAAATATCATGCCTCTTACCATAGCCGCCATTTGTGATATCACAAATCCCGGAAATTATGCGTTGTAGTCCAAACGAGTCTTTCATTGTAGTTTTTGAAAAGTGATTTCTGTTAAATAAAGTATCTCCTTTTGAAGTGGACTTTGACCTTTGTAACTTTGCAGATCTTTTTTAAGCTCAAACAGCAACATTACAGACTAACTAAAGCTGAAAAAGTGAAAAAGCATAATAGGACCCCTTTAATGTTTTCCTTAAATTAATAAATGTTTATATTAGAAATTAAAACTATAAATAAATAAATCATTTTTTTAATGTTATTATTAACCCAAAATCTCACAAATCAGCTTCAAACAACATCTAGACATTTTTAGACAAAAAATAAACTAAACATATAATATCAAAAGAACATAAAGCAGCTTATATAATATTTATTGTCACAATCAGCATTTTGTGAAGGTTAAATACCAGCTCTATTTGTTTTGTATGAGCAAAGGCAAAAAAAATGTTGGTCCCTCGATTTATATTTCTGTGGCATCTTGACATGACATGACATGTTTATTTGAGATGGATGAGTGTTTTTACCTATGGGATGCAGCAGACTGGCTTCCACCCTCTGCGGGATCCGTGGGGGCACTTTCATACTGGCTCGGATCTGATAGAACCTGTCATCACATGTTCATACTAAGCTTAAGAATTTAAGCAAAGCATTATACTTTTTTTAAAATGTATGCCTGCTTTTTCACTATTACACAAACACATAAAACTCAATACTAGATTTTATTATGGATTGCTATCTAAAAGACCCTCTTCTGACGCCTTGAATATTTTTCTTTATACTGAGTGCAGCCCATGTAAGAAAAGCCTGACGCAAGCTTGTTACACTTAAGAGCCTACTCAGCTCAAAGACATACTTTCTGTAAAGGTAGAGTCAGGGATAAGAATCGTAAAGAATTTAACCATTTTGAGTGTGATTCCATATAATAAATCTATAATAGTTTTTAGAAATGTATAATGCTACAAAAGTTCTTTTGTACTTTAATAAAAGGATCCTAAATGTATCGCAGTTTCCTCAAAAATACGGCTTCACAACCATTTGACTTTAACAATAATAAGAAATGTTTCTTGAGCAGCAAATCAGCATATTAGAATGATTTCTGAAGGATCGTGTGACACTGAAGACTGGAGTAATGATTCAGAAAATTCAGCTTTTCCATTTAAAGATATTAATTGTAATAACATTTACTGTTTTTAATATAGTTTTAAACAAATAAATGGAGCCTTGGTGTGTTAAACTTTTTGAACGGTAGTGCATATTACAAACAAACTTACTAAACAAAAAGCATACTTTCACTGAATTAGCTATTTCACAGTGCCTGTTTTTTCCTCTCTCATACAAGAAATTCAGACTACAACTCAGCTAAAGCTTCATTTCTTTTACCGTGCCACAGATTCTGTGATGCAGAAAACTCTTTCAGACTCAGAATATATTAATACAGAATATGCTGATACAGTATTCAACAGAAAAATGCAGTTTATGAATCACTAACAACCAAACCTCTTGAAACTAAATTGTTTCTGCATTGTTTTTTAAAAGAAACTGGTGAGCTTTTCTTCTTACTGTGGTTCTTAGAATGGAAGAAGCCACTGTGACTGTCAAATACATCTCACACCCTCTCAGTTCCTCATTTCTACTCATCAGAGCTCGGCTGAATAATCCGCACACACTGAGCTCATCAGAGAGCTCCTGAACATGGCTGTATCCACACAGCTCGTGTTTATATCCTGTACTCCATCCTCCCATGCATTTGCAATTAAAGAGGAAGTTCAGGCAACCAAAATAGAGCTGCAATTATCCTACTGACAAGAATATCATGACATCAAAAGCACACAGAGGCACTTATGTGGAAGCGAGGAGATAGGTAAGAATATAACCGGCTGGCCGGAACACAGATCTGAGAACAGGAACAAACAAACAGGCCCATTGCAGGAGCTGAAGAGGAGAATGACGGTTGCGTTATGCTTCCTGTCGCACAGCTGAGCAAACCAATGGCTCGCTGTTTTAGTTAGACCCACAGCGACAATGTCAGCAGATGTGGAATGTTAAACTGAGGTTGAATACTGCTGTGTTGACACCAAACAACCCTACTGAGCACTGACGATAACCTAGAGTTTCTTCCTTGAAAATGGACTCTTTAGACATTTACATTGCGACAGAAAGTGTGACGCTACATAAACGTATGACTAACTTAAAGGGATAGTTCACCTAAAAATGAAAATTCTGTCATCATTTACTCACCTGTATTTTGAAGAATGTCGGTAATCAAACAGTTTTGGTTCCCATTGACATCCATTTTATTTTTTGTCAATATAATGGAAGCAAATGGGAACTGAGACTGTTTGGGTACCAACATTCTTCAAAATATCTTCTTTTGTGTTCTGCAGAAAAAAGAATGTCATACAAGTTTGGAATGACATGACGGTAAGCAAATGATGACAGAATTTTAATTTTGGGGTGAATTATTCCATTAAACGAACTATTTTAACACAAATAACACATTTTTGCTTTGGATATCCAGCAAAAATAACTTTATAAGTCATTGTAACTTAACTCTTACCTATGCTAAATAATACTGTGGCTTTTCATAATGAACAATAGCCTCTAGAGATCACATTACAAGAATGGGCCATTAAGCTCTTGTGTGTTGAAATATGCACGTTTCCATGCTTAGGATAAGACTAAGCAAGATTAGGTTCAGAAAATACCTGAATTGCATGCTGGATCATTTCAGTTTTTTTGCACATACTGAAACTGGTGCAATCTGAAGTTAACCTCAATTATATTCTGAGATTCTCTGCTAATAGAAATCTCATCCTCACATTAAATATGAAAATGCATTCAGGTTGTCTAGATGATCTATACTAGGGGTGGTGAACGTTGGTCCTGAAGAGCCGCAGCCCTGCAGAGTTTTGCTTCAGCCCTAATCAAACACACCTGAACAAGCTAATCAAGGTCTGAAGGGTTACTAGAAAGCTACAGGCAGGTGAGTTTTAATTAGGGTTGGAGCTGTACTCTGCAGGGCTGCGGCTCTTCAGGACCGGAGTTCGCCACTGCTGATCTATACATTAGTGAAGCTTGTGCATATTTAATTGTTTAAACTGCTAAGCCAAAGCTAACCATCCTGCACCATTTGAGATATAGACATGACTGAAACCTCAAATTGTACAGCCCGTTAAAGAGAAGTATGCTACTACTTTAAGCGATTAGACATACAGGCTACATTAAATGTGCAACAAATCTTAATGTTTACATTTATATTTACATTTTACTCAGGTAATAAAAGATAAGCCACAACGGATGTTTTCTTCATAGAATGTTTGTATGTCTAGTATGTCTTTGATTTGCTCATGTCACTTACAACAAACAGGTTAAGACTCAAAGGTTTTCATTATCAAGTTGTGACAAATTAGCATAATTTCTGTGAAAATTTGCAGGTAAAAACAGCAATAGTGTAGCAATCCAGGTAACACGGCTGACACAGAAGTCACTTTCAAACCAAGCAGCTTTCTGCTGGTCATTGGCGAATTCAAGTTACCAAATTGAACAAGTGAAATCTGCATGGGAAACTTTTTTTCCATCACACAAAACTCTAGGGCTGCCCTCGACTAAAGATTTTTCTGGTCGACTAGTAGTCGTTCATTTTAAGCATTTGTCGACTAATCGCATGCTAATTAGCCTTTAATTGCCTACATAGCCTAAAAAGCACTCAAGCGCATGCATAAAGCTTGCCACAGCACACCGGCAGAAGTAATGAAGATGAATGTGTCAGGGAAAAACTGTATTATTAAACTGCATTAACATTTTAATAACCTATTTATAAACTAGTATTTTCTGTGATTTCAGCTTAAGAGATGAATTTGACTCGTCATCTCCACAGTAGGCTAGTGGATGGGCCTGCATGCAAATTTCATACGGATTACATAATCTGAGACACACCGGCAGAAGTAATGATGATGAATGTGTCAGGGAAAAACAGTAAGATTAAACTGCATTAACATTTTAATAATCTATTGATAAACTAGTGTTTTCATTTTAAGAGATGAATTCAGCGACACTGACTTGTCATCTCCACAGTAGTGGATGCGCCTGCATGCAAATTTCATACGGATTACATAATCTGAGAATATTTGTTTCATTTGAAAGTAGGCATTTCATTCTCTATAGATATATTTTTCATGTCTGTAAAGCAAGTATACACAGAGTTTCGCGCTCAAGTTCACAGAGGCCGAGACGGCATGTCACATCCTGAGACCTGAGGCCGAGACAATAAAGCACATCCTGTTTGCTTTCATTATTTTACAAAAGCGCAATGTTGTTGCTACTACTTACATATTTCAGATGATAAGCCATATTTGAGGTCGATGAATGATAGGCGAGCGTTTGGATGTATTGTATTACCACAAAATCCAGCCGTTAACGATCTGTCCGTCACGGACTGCGTGACCTCACCACTTCCTGTGGATTTTTTTTTTCTGCGACTAAGCTACTAATAAAATTTTGGTCGACCAAGCCTCTTCTCATCGACTAAAGGTTAGTCAACTATTAGGGGGCAGCCCTACAAAACTCCCAAATTCACAGATTCCTATTGAAATGACTGGACTTCGCCCATGAAATTTCACCAAGCAAGCAACAGTACCTTTATACTGCACCATACTGTACATATTGCAATTACTAATTAGGTTAACAGCCAACTGGCAAGTAAGGCCGTTGTATTTACTCTCATTTGGCAATTAGGTTAAGGTTCATTTTGGGCCCTGATTAAAAAAAAAAAACGTAGGTAGGTATTTTGAGGTGTCCCTCTCTGCAAGCCAACTCGTGGAGAATAAAACTGTGCAACATTAAACACAACCGTCTAAGCAGACACGTGTGACGTGCCTGAACAGAAATAGTTGTGAGAAGACTCCTAAATTATGAATTCTAAAAAAGCTGGTACACATATAGATGGAGAAGCTGAGACTCGTGCCGGCAAGCAATGGCAGGAATGACAAGAGAGACTGTACAGCACTGTAAGAGAGCACGGCATGTTATTAATATCAGTGAAAATGATATCATAGGGAGTGCCTAAATGGAGATGAGAGTTGCAGGCTGCAAGTTTCTATGGGAAGTTTTAGCTTTGTGCTCTGCATTGCATTTTACAGTCAACAAAACAGCTTAATTTTCAATGTCAAGAACAAACTAGGCTTTACCAATTAGGTTCAACCTTAAGACCAACATAAACTAGACAAACTTTGCTCAAATGCAAATATTTCTTTGTTGTTTTAGTCATGGCTTCCAAGCAAAAGATCAACTTTGAAAATATTTTATCTGTGTGTGCAACCCGACCTGGAATGACACTTTCTCTGGGATAAGATCTTTAGTGGAACAGAAGGGTATTAGAACATGTTCTTACCCTCTTTGGAAGAGATCCACATTATAGAACTTGTGGAGCTCCACAGAGAACTCCACAGTGGCCTGGACCTCCGTCATGCTGGATTCAGGGCTGGAGGAGGACCTGTCTCAAACGATCGGCAGCAAAACTGCGGAAGAACAGATAAACGATTTGAACAATTGTGTCATCACATGTGGAAGGACCAGAGAAGAAGTTGGAATACACATTTCTACACTGAAATATAACCAAAAGATGCATTAATGTGTGTAAAAATGTTAAAGAAAACATGCACATAAGTGTGCAATGCATCCAACATTATGTGAGGCTATGCTTACAAACAGAATAGCATACTAATATTTTCTCTCTTTGTGTGAGAAACAGACCAAAATATACATTACTGTTCAAAAGTTTGGGGTCAGTAAGATTTTTCACGTTTTAAAAGCCTCTTATGGCTGCATTTATTTGATCAAAAATACAGCAAAAACAGCAATATTGTGAAATATTATTACAATCTTACTGACCCCAAATTTTTGAATAGTAGTGCAAGTTCAGTGATAATCATCCCCTCCACTGAAACACAAATATAAAATATAAAAATATAAATATAATAATAATAAAAGCATACAGCAGATTTAAAATAATAACAGAATTTAGTTTTTGCGTGAACTATCCCTTTAAATGTAATAACTTGAATGTCTCATTACACAACACAAATTCATAACATAAAACTGAACAATTTCTAAAACGTGCAACTCACACTTTAACAAATCTCACACTAGAAAGAGAACAAAATCTGAAAGTGGCTTGTATGACGACTGTAAACAAGACAACTGGGTAAAAAACTTGAAGTTACAAAAGAAACCTCATGCACTTCCATTTCACTGAGCAACTCTGACCCAAGTTCATCAGATAAGTCTGACTACCTCTTGACATTTAAACCCCACAAATATAGCAAAGGCATTCTCGTCTGCAAACATGCATGAATTTGCATAAGACATCCTTCCTACAGTGTTTTCTCAATGCTCTTCACCGTGATAGCTGTAAGCACTGCCTGAGCTTGTTCTGAATTACCACAGAATGCTTTCACACACCCCACAGGCTTTCAGAATGATTCACCCTTATTTGCAAGTCACAGTACAGTACTGAGGTGTGATGCAAGATCCTGACAAGTCCAGCACACTTCAGACAGTTCGATGCAAATACCTCCGCTAACGCTGGCTAGACTAGCCTGTGGGGGTCTCTGGAGGATTTCATGTGCTTTGTGGCATTATCAGGGGCTTTAGCTTTCATGAATACAGATTAGCTAACTTAAATGGGAAGCGAACTGCAGTTGCCTATCACATGCAAACCACAAGTCAAATCAGATCAACCACAGCAAGATTTTCCTTCCAAACATGTGTCGAGCTGGTGATAAGAGCACAAGAGCCCCGTCCCACTGTCAAGCTCTGCATGCACAGATAAGCACAACAGAAAACAGGCCTTATTTGTGTATGGGGCAGCCACTTTCCTTCCTCTGAGATGTGCCTGTGAAAATTAAGTTATGATCCTGCTGCTTGGCATATGTTAATTTCCTTGGATGTCCTACTGTTTTATGCTTTCATCTGCTCACTCTCTCTCAGATTCAAAGACTTTTATACACAAGAGTCAAATCTTGCCAAAATCCCATTAATTTCTAACATAGAGACATAGACACTGTTTTTAGAGATAAAGTAAATTTGAGACATGATCATCATGAGCTTAGTATGCCATAAGTTTCTGTACAATCCAAAAGTCTGTTATTTGAACTTAAAATTTGTGCTTAATTGCAAAATTCCCAGTGAAATACTGCATTTCCTACATTCTTAAGATCACAATTCATATGAATAATTTATGTTCACGTTGTTGTACCTTTGTTCTGACTTTCTGGTCTTCAAATCAAATGTTGTGGCTTCTTTTCATCTATATGATTCATTCAAAAGCCAAACGGTTTATTTTAAGATTTAGGAAACGTATAAATACATATGGAGAAAAAGAATGCGACAAATACTTTATGGAAGTGTACTGGCATTATGTACATGAGTCAAAGACAAAACAGGTTTTTAAGCAATCAAAACAATGAAAGTTTAATGAAAGCTTCATTATTTTCTCATATATTAGAATGTGTCCCGTTTAATGAACATTTTTCTTAGCAAAAAATAATGACTATCATACATTTCACCATGAGATTTACAGAAAAAAATTCATGGTAACAATAGTTCATATAACAAAAATCTTGTCAGGCATATTTAGAACAAGAGTCATTAGATGACGTTAAAAGACTATATTTAAGGATCACAGTGCAGCCCCCAAAAACAAACTAATTGTACATTTGTACCATTATCCTACGGTGCCTGTAAGGCGACATGTTCGGTTCACTTAGTTTTGCCGTGGCCACGACATAATAACTCGTGGGAACGTGATAATATGTGGTGGCCACTAGGCCTGTCACGATAACAACTTTTTGTTGTGCGATATATTGCCCCAGAAATAATTGCGATAAGCGATATTATTGTCATTTTAAAGACCCTATTATGCCACTGAATATATAACCATAATGTAACAGCGTAATAATGCAAGAAGGCCTACACACTTCCAAATGACAACAAACTTTTCATTTTTAAGAATATTTAGATCATGGAAATTAAGTATCAAAATATTAGATACCTTAAAAAAACTGAATAAATAGTAAATAAACATTTTCTAACAAAAAGTGCAAAGTAGAAAAAAAGAAAAATGCACAAAGAAATTGTATGGAGATTTTTCAATCTACAGATTTTTCCCTGACCTTCTTTTCTCTGTAAATTAACGGTGCACTGTATTGCTGAAAAACACAATCACTACTTATCAGTCAGATGTCCATATGCACGAAGGCACAGATCCCTAAACAAGACCATATCTGCAGATGAAACTTTTTTTGTAGAAGCATTTTTTAAAATTTGAACTAGCACCTCATGACTACACCACGTTATGTACGAGAAGCTGCAAAAGACACAGGCGCAAGTGGAATATACAAAACATGGTGACATTAATTTTTAAGCATGATATTATGTCGTGGCCACAAGATCATTTTGTCGAGGTAATGACATCCTTATGTCGTGGCCTCGAGATACTATGTTGAGGGAACAACATCCATTTCTCGTGGCTACGACTTCTTATGTTGAGGGAACGACATTTTTTTCTCGTGGCCACGCGTTTAATGTGTAAACAATCCTGCATGACCATAGCAACCCGGGATTATCAGAGATGGATTCATTAATATTTTATTTTGAATTAAGAAATTATTATATTTATTATAGAAATTATTACATTATTAAATTATTATATTAACCATAGGCCTTTGCTACCGGGCTGTATTACGTGCGATAGTCAGCATTCAAATGAAGTTTATCATGAATAAATGTTACATAAAGTGCATAATATAAAATAGGCCTACAAGAAAACATTTTTATCCATCCTACAGTCTTGTAAGTCCATTAACTGATCGTCTTTTCCCCGTAATATTTGTATATTATTATTAGCCTATTATTATTGGTTATATTTTTTTATTCGTTTATATTAATTTTTTCCCTTTATTTCGATGTCTCTACTTAACGTTCTGAATACTTTTGTAAATATTAGCCTACTGTAAATGCTCAACATGCCAATAAAGCTTTGATCATGCTGACTGGAATTTTTGCTGGAACGCAGTTTAAATTTAACATATATTTCATTTTATTTCGGCTAATTAATAGACCATAGTTATAAATACTATAGTGTTTCGTTGAGGAATTAATCATTCACATAGTTTCATTTGTAAATGAAAACACAACACGCTCATTTATCATCACATGGGCATAAATACAATCATAAAGTCAAAACTTTATTGGCATAATTGTCAGGCGTTTATTTACAAAATATATGGTAGGCTAGCAAATACTAGCATAACTATACAAAACGTTAACTAGGTAAAGCCATACACAAATTGAAAGGGGAAATATGCATATATAACAATAAATATAAAAATATAGCTCTAATAAGTTAATGTAATAATAATAATAATAATAACATACAAATATTAAATTAAATGTTTAATGTTAATAAAAATGTTTGATCTATTTTTGATAATCCCGGGTTGCTATGGTCACGCAGGTTTGTTTAGCATTAAACTCGTGGCCATGAGAAAAATATGTCGTTCCCTCAACATAAGAAGTCGTGGCAACGAGAAATGGATGTCGTTCCCTCAACATAGCATCTTGAGGCCACGACATAAGGATGTCGTTACCTCGACAAAATGATCTCGTGGCCACCACATATTATCATGTTCCCACGAGTTATCAATGTCGTGGCTACGACAAAACTATTATACTCATACCTTTTGTTCTTTTAGTATTTTGAATTGTTTTTAGCTTTAATTTTTTGTTTTCATTTAAATGTTTAGTTTTTAAATGTTGTCGTATGCATTTGTCATTTTTATTTAATTTATTTTATTTTCTTAAATGTGTATATATATATAGTATTTATAGAGTTTTAGCTTTTAGTTTTAATGACTTTTTCTTATTTGTAAGTCGCTTTGGATAAAAGCGTCTGCTAAATGACTAAAAGTAAAGTAAAACTAAGTGAACCGAACATGTCACCTTACGGGCACCGTATTATCCTTCAAACAACTAGGTTTTACCCATTTGTCAGCAATGACGTTTTGAATTATTTGAAATATAATGAAACATAAAAATGTAGAATGATCAAGTACAGGTCAGAATATGTATGTCGTTTCATTTTTACACAAATATATTTGTTATATTGAATGACGATGGAAAATTATTTCATCCACTATATTGACATTTTATTTGCTCAAATTTCATATACATACACACACATTATTACATATTATTATCAGTGATTTGAGTACATTATTAGTGTATATGACTCACCCGTCCTGACTCGGTTCAGTATCTTCTTTCCTCATGTCAACTGATCAACACAATCCTATATAAAAAAAAGACATGTGAACACATATAAAATACATATAAACATAACTAATAACTATTTGATAAAGTTTCACAAATAAAACATTCAAACAAGCATTTGATACCATTTGATAATACAACTAAACGTTATTATCTAATTTATTTTATCAATTATATTAACAATTTCTTTAATATCGTAGATTTAAACACGATTTGTTGACAAAGCCTTTGTTTTCAATTCATGTCGTGTGAATTTGCGTCCTGAAAGGCAGTTAGCTCTAGCGTTAGCCTGTTTTGCTTCTCAAATAATCAGCCTTCACAAACATCGCACTATTTGCATAGGTTAACGGATGCGTTATCAAACCTACAACCTGAAACGCAACAAACAGTTATAGTTTACCAAATTTCTGGCTGTTATATAATTAAAAACACGTACATGTATCCGCTTTGGGAATTTAGGCCTCAATCCGCGGGTTGGATTTCAGAGCGATCCAGCCTCGACGCTCCGATCACCCGGCTGCTTAATTCCTCTGCATGCCGTTGAAAGTTCACATATGCTCCGTCTTCACAGTACACTTAAAAGCACAGATCAGTCAGACTGGATAAAAAAAATGAATCACATCTCCATACGGGCAAGCAGTGAGAGTCGTAGATCGTAAATATTGTCCAAACTTGTTTTTTGTGTTGTAAGAGTGAGTTTAAGGGAGGCGCTCACAAGCCGGTAAGTAACGTATAACACCGGTTCCTATCAAAGGCGTTAATATATGATTCCTGCCCTTATTATTTATTGAAAACGCTATTCACTCCCTTCCTCATTATAATGATTCACTTCAGACATTTTAGTTTTCTGAAGGCGTTGGAGAAGACAGCTATGTCCAATAAAGATAAATATTATAATAATACATTGTTTACAAAACAAAACAGCAAAACTCATAATCCTAATAAGAACCGAATTAATTTTATATAAACGTTTTTTGGTCCCTTGCTGGTCTTCCAGTCTGGTCAGGTGGGTCCTGGTTTAACGTGGTTTTGGCACATTTCAGCTGACTCAAACCGTTGGTTTAGGTTTATTTATTTATTCACTATACCAGACTGAAGGCCTGAAAATCTTTTTGTTTTTTCCCCCTATATCATTAGGATTCAGTTTGGTGCATAGGTTAGAACTTCATAGATACTTGTATTATTTGCTCTAATTACAGGTGCAGAAATTAAAGGTCCCAAACAAGAAACTCACCGAATTAAGATGTGAAAGACATGTTAGCCTACACAGATAGATACTTGTATTATTTGCTCTAATTACAGGTGCAGAAATGAAAGGTCCCAAACAAGAAACTCACCGAATTAAGATGTGAAAGACATGTTAGCCTACACAACGACCACAAATCCTGATAAGAGATTTGGAAAATGAGGAACAACCAAGGAACAGTAGTAACTGATTTACTCAAAAATGATCCATAATAACCATTAGATAATGATTTAAATTATTTTGCCAAGTACAAAATGTGTTTAATTCCAAAACTTTGCCATTTACCAATGTGTTGTTCAAAACACTTTTTACATTGTAATGTTTTAAGTTTTACGTATTTGCCCGGTTTCACAGACAAGGTTTAAGCCTATAGTCCCAGACTAAAATGCATGTTTGAGCCATTTTAACTGAAAGCAACTTGAACTGGCATATCTTAAAATATGCCAGTGCCATTGATTTGTATCAAGATGCACACCAGTAATGTTTTTTCTAAGGAGCATAAAAAAATAAAAATACTTAAATGTCCTAATTCAACTAAGGCTTAATGCTCTCTGTGAAACCAGGCCGTTCAATTTTACAGTCCAAGTATAAGTAAATGCATGGGTAATTTTGCAAAATGTGTTAAATATTTTATTTACACTTACTGTATAACTGCTGTTTTTTTCTGTAATTCCATGGTTTTGTAAATACAAATTCATAATAATGAGATGTTTATAGATTTGTTAAGTCATGTTATTTATGTAGCCTATTATGAACTGTATAATTAAAATGAAAGTAACGTTTTGGCTAGGTATCAATTTTAAATGAACTTTTAATAAACAGTACAGTAGATATTGAAATGAAACAGGCCACGTCTGGCATGCTATGTGCAAATTAGTGACGGGCCGATTTTGGCCTGGATGCGGCAAGTTAACAGTTGCCGCATCTGGCACGATTGATTCGGGCCGGAATCGGGCAGTGAGTACCTATACAGGCATCCTGCCCAAGTGCGGCAGATGGAGCCGGGCCGAGGGGTAAGTCTCCGGCATGTTAGAATCTAACCGGAACTGACCAGAGTGTATTTTGCTATCTGGGTTATATTGTCAAATAAATAATAATAATTAAGTGTTCTAAACAATATATTTTCCCCATAGATAAAACAGGATAACAAGAAACAAACCCAATGCATTCACCCAGAATATTTAAAGTGTTTCAATATTATGTGCATTTCTTGTTGTATATTAAGAGTGAATCTCAAAGCATCTACGGACATGCAAGTGAATTTGAGTCTTTGTCCGTTTATACATCTCCCACAGACAGGACACACACATTATTGTGTTACTTTAAGACTTAGGGATAAAATTTATCAGCAGCTCCTCTGCAGTATTCAAATGACTTATCACCAACTGGTTTATCTGGTTTTAACTTTGTGCACAGTTAACTCTTGTCACACAGCTAATCCTTCTAGCAACGTAAAGATCAAATTCACTGATGATTAAACATAATAGGATAACCTAAATTAGCAGTTTGGTTAAAAAGACCATCTTGTACTATCTGTTATGTTCTTACAAACTTCTCGTTTACATGTACATTTAGTCATTTAACAAATGATTTTACTGATCTACTATAAGAAGGAAGCAAATGTCATGAAGCATAAAAACTTCCCAAAAAAGAAAAGTCATAAGTTCTTGAAGGAGCCTGTGGGTACAACATATGTGCTGCCATATGACTCTCTCTCTCTCTCTCTCTCTCTCTCTCTCTCTCTGGTAGAAGGACATTTCTATAAGCATATTCAAGACAGTCAGGTTTAATTTGAAACACTGAAACAGAGCAAATCCTGTTGAATTGTGATCCTCCTAGTTTGTATTGTGTATTGTATAAGTTTGTGGTGGCAATTACCAGCAAAAGCTGTGGGCAAACAAACTTGCATTCAGATATGCATTCTATAAAAGATGTTCTTTGGATGCCAGAGCAAAACAGGGATCCCAGTGCAAAATTAAAATTTCATTTCTGTTGTCATAAATTATTGCACAGATCTCCTATTTTACAAGTCATCAATTATATATATTATTTTACAGTATTTATTGTCAGTGCAGTGTAGTGTGTCTTACCAGATGAAGACACGACACTTACTGGGTTAGATAAGATGTATAACACGAACAGCCAATCAGGTGTGGTGTCTTATACATATCTGATGGAGATTTGCGAAACTAAACCAACATGAAGATTTTCCATCCTCAACTGAGGCACACACTGGATGTTACCAAGGGAACTGCTGTGTTTTAAAGCAATTGATTGGAAATTATTGAAAAGTGTTTTTCCAGATATTTTCTGACCCACGATTGGCAAAAAGATAACATTATTTACTTGTAAAGCCATGAGGTTCCGTTAAAAAAAAAAAATAATCAAAATGTTTTTTTTCAATTGGATTTTCAAATGTGCAAAATTTAAAATTCAAAAAGCTAATCCAATAAGTTCTCAACCATCAATAATTATAAGTACAATAAATGTCCTATGTCACACTTTACCTTTGTTTATCACTATCAAGGACCAGTTCCCTCCTCCAGGACTAATGAGCAGCAGCATCATGTTAGGGGTTGTCAGCTGTTCCTCACCTCACTGGACAGCTGCAGATCATGTTGGTTAGTTGGTTTGATGAGATCTGGGTGGGCTTCTCAGATCAGATTCCTCCTGCATGACACGAACATCTGTGGAAATCAGGAAAAATTATCTGGAGGTAATGCATAACATTCTTCTTCATTTGTGTTATTTTTTCATCTAATTATTTCATGGATATTTCAGTAGGTTCATTCAAATAACTTTACTTAGAATTGTATACCTCAATGCACAAATATATTTATTGACATAATAATTTTACATTTGATGCATAGTAAAAATATATGTTTATTGCTCAATCACAAACAATTCATATACTTTTATTTCTAGGGAAGTTTGTCTCTACCTGTTGTGTAATGTGATCAAACGATGCTTGTCCACTGGTCTTCATGCACACAGTAAGTACCTTCAGTATCAATGATTTAGAACTTTAAGTGATTTTGGTGGGTTTCCGGTTTAGTATAAAATAAAAATGAGGTGCATTAAGATTTTAACCAGCTTTTAATAATCCGCTCTAGGTGGCGCAATATCCTGTCATGTCAAACTTTAAATAAAACTAAACTAAACTAAGTCTTGAAAACAATAAAATGCAAAAACAAAATGCTTGAACTCAAAGGAGACAATGTGGTGCAGCTTTTCAAACACAGTGTGACTGTGTTACTCACACAGTCAACACAGCTTTCCCCCAACCAATGTGTGTTCATCAAACACAAACACATGGAGGAGGAGTAAAGAAATAAAATGAAAGAATGGTTGAAGTAAAAAAAAAGATGCAAAAAAGGTTTAATTTGCTATTTAACAATAATGCATTTTCTTTAAAGTCATGCCATTTTCCAGTATGAGTCACCTGCAGACGGACCAAACTTTGTGTCCTCAGACTAAAGATGGGACTGGCTTATTTCCAGGTGAACATCTCTAAAACAGTACATACATTTGGACTACATGTGTTCTGTTGTAACTTGAGTCTCTCTAATATCCCATAGGATTTTACATAATGACTCAGTTCAACATTGCTGAGTTGACCAGGAGAGGGACGGTAAAGAAGGTGCCTGGAATGACATCTCAGCATATTGCATATAAGATTGGCCCTGAGTTCAACTTCAGGATAAAAACCAGGTAAACACCTCTGACAGAGACCCTCTATGCTCAAGAACAGTTCTACCTGAAGGGTGACCAGTTATGGAGATGCTTTAGTGCTCTAAATAAACTGCTTTTGTGTGGAAACAGTAATGTTTGCATGACATTCATTTTGGATAGAGGCTAGAGCTATATAGTCTGCTACCAAGAGTATATATCTGTTTAATAAGAAAAGCCAAGTAAATATCGCAAAAGGTTGGATTAATTTAAGGACTTGAAACAGCTTCCAAGTACCACTGCAAGTGCGATTAAGCTTGTTACAATAGTTCAATAGACGAGAAGTTAATTTATATACAATATTGCCAGTTACTTTTCAATTTTTGCTCATCCATTGAAAATCATTCCAAACAAAATCAAAGAATAATCAAGCTTTGAGTGTCTCTTGAGCAACATACAGTAGTAGCTTTCCTAAACGAATCAGTGCTGTGGAACGAATCAGTTGAACAAATGATTCAATAACTCACTCATAAAAGACCACTTATCATACTGTATGAAAGCCCAACGATGCCACCCAGAGGTATCTTTATGTCTATAACCGTTTTAATGTTTGGAAAAGGCTGAACAAGTCAAGACATGCCCAGACAAGTATCAGGAGGCAGTCTATATGTATGGGTGGATAGATTGATTTGTTCATTGTGCAAGAAAATGGACTACAGCATGTTTGTTTCTTCTGTGAGTGATTGATTAAAAAGTAAGTTATCCGTTTTATATTCTATGCTGGTCAAACTGAAATATATTTTCATTCTGTATTGTCACCCGTAAACTTTACTAGTTAAAATAATGACTTGAAAAGATTGTATAATTTGTGTGAGTTGCATGCTGACTAAGTCTATGCTAAGTCAAATGTTGACACTTGTTCAATACAGCTTAACTGTGCATGTTCCACTGCCTAATTGATATTCATAAGCTAAAATTGTACACCTGTTTAGGGTACATATTTAAATGATAAACACTTTGCCAAAATAATGCAGCTATTTAAATGCAACTTGAATGCCTTTATTACCTGATATTTGATACTGTTATTTACTGTCACTGCTGCTGTGTGTAATGTTTATTTCTTTATACTAGCCATATTATTGTTTATATTACAAATTTTATATTGTATTCTGTTTTCTCTGTTCATTGTAGACCACACACGCCCACATGCACCCCTTATGGGCAAGTGCCTGTAACAATTCAAACATGCAAGGATAATTCAAATAAAATCCTTCAATTGGGACCTGCTCTTTCTCTCACGTTTCTCTAACCGGAAACTCCCCTCACTATTTCTACTTGTACCTAAACGAACCCTTGAGCGTCCCATACGCTCGTACATGGTCCTTCGAGCCGGATGTACTTCTGTAGAGATGGATTCTGATCCTGCCAGTACAGCAGACCCCGCGGTCCGACCCCGCACACAAAGAGAGAGACATCTCCCAGCTCATCTAGAGGATTATGAAGTCCAGCTTCCTGCACACCTGCATTCAGCACCACCTCCAGCTGACACCTCTTCACAGAGACATTCTAGACATTCCTCTAAGTCTATCTCATCTGGTACAGCCTCCAAAGCTACCTCCAGATCACGACACAGTGCTTCAAGTCGATCTCCAAGACACGCTCTGTCTGACGTCCAAGCTGCAGTGCTGGAGGAGAAATTAAAGGCTCTTGAACTAGAGGAACTACAACGCCAGATTGAAGAGGACGCTACAGCAGACAAGGAATGTCAGAGACTTGACGACCAAGCCAGAGAGGCACTCAAAGCCAGAGAAGCCTTGGCTAAACAGATTGATACAGGACGTCGCCTCAAGAAAGCACAAAATGAGCTTGAAGTTGCCAAGCTAGTCACCTCGTTCCTTAAACAGGACAACAACAGCAGATCTGGATCACAGTCTAGCATCGCCAGTAATTTATGTGAAGCACAACCTGGAGTAAGCCCACCTCCACAGAGAGCTGTTACTAGTGATATTTTTACATCGAATGCCCAGGAAATGCACAGCTCTTCCTTGCCACAACCTGTGTTTCTTGCCTCCGAGGCATCAGTATTGCTTCCTCCAGCCCCACAGGTGGTGCAGTCTACATTCAGTGCCCAAGACTTTACTCCCGAGGTGCACCATCCTAATGTAGGGACATGGTCATCGCCTCCACGTGCAACAGCTCAGTCGACTTCAGACTCTAGAACAGTTTTCACTGGTCCATCACCCATTTACCCAGCTACCGTCACAGTGCAGCCAACTTCTCCTGTCACTACGGTAACCTACCATCAGACAGCTGCTGTCAGTGTGCCTCCCTCAGTAGCTTCACCTCTAGACCCTGCAAACTTAGAGGCTTCTGTACTTCCTCAGCCACACCAAGTACTGTACCCTCACACTCAAGTGGCATTCCCGGCCCCTCATCCAGTTCCAGTTCATGCAGCAATCTATGTACCTCAAGCCCAGCCACCCGGACTAGAGATGTTAGCTGCTTCTGCTTATGGTATCCCAAAACCTGTCATACCATCCTTTGAAAGTGGACGTGAAAGTGACTTTGCACTGCTCAAAATGGCATTGGACAATCTGATGAACAATCAACAACACTTAGGTGAACAGTACAAATATCAAGTGCTTCTAGGGCACTTAAAGCTTCCAGTGCTATCCAGCTTGCCAAGGCATACATGCACGATCCCCGGCCGTACACAGCTGCACTACAAGCACTGCAAGATAAATATGGACAACCACGCCAACTAGTACAATGTGAGTTAGGTGCCATATTGAATGCTCCAGCTGTAAAGTTTGGAGAAGCTAAAGCTTTTGATGACTTTGCCTTATCCATCCATTCATTGGTAGGGATGATCAGGACTTTAGAAGGCCCAAATGGCTATGAGTTAAGGTGTGGATCGCATGTTGATCGCCTTCTGAGCAAAATGCCACCGTCATATCGTGAAAGCTTCGTTGAGTACTGTTTTAGCCATGGCATTCTCCAGACTGGCACAAACCGTACCTACACCCTGCCAGATTTCTCTGCCTGGCTACAGCTGAAGTCTCAGGCTAAGCGTATTTCAAATAGGGCAGCAGCACTCTACCAAAGTCAGGCAGCCAGGACAACCAAGAAGGATTCACACCCACCTTCTCGGCCTAAGGACAGATCCACTTCAATCCTTTACTCAACTAACAGTACCTCACCTGTTCAAGGACAAGCAAGAGTTCAGACTATCAAGTTCCAACCATACTGTCCATACTGCAACAATAAAGACCATTTTCTAAACTCTTGCTCAAAATTCAAGCTTCTGACCACAGAACAAATATTGAAGTGGATAACAGAAGGAAAACGGTGTTGGAAATGTGGAAGAGCACATCCTGCAGACAACTGTACTCTGAAGCGATCATGCAAGACTTGCAAAGAATTGCATCTTACCACACTCCATGAAGCAGCCCAGCAGACACAAAAGAGTGTTCTTCTAGTCAATGTTCCCCCTACACAGGTCTACTTAGATCGTCCCAACCGATCTCCAAAGGTGATGTTAAAGGTAGTCAAGGTTCTACTCCACTACAGAGATAAAACCATGGAGACATATGCAGTGTTAGATGATGGCTCCGAGCGCAGCATTGTATTACCACAGGCTGTGGAACAGTTAAACCTTACTGCATTGCCTGAAACGCTCACCCTACGTACAATACGTCAGGATGTACTTCATTTAAATGGAGCATCTGTTTCCTTCTCTGTGTCCCCTTTAAACAGACCAACTAGGAAGTTTGAGATGAATCATGCCTTCACTGCAGAGAACCTGAGACTGTCTGAACATTCTTATCCAATAGCTGCTCTCCAACGCAAATATGCCCATATCCGGTCTTTGCCACTTCCACAGATTGAGCGAGCACAACCCTTGCTACTCATTGGGTCAGACATGCCTCATTTACTTGTGCCAGTCCAGCCCATACGAATGGGTCCTCCTAATGCACCCATAGCTGTTCACACCAGACTCGGTTGGACTCTCCAAGGCCCTGTTGGGTACATCCTAACTACCCCTTGTGACCAACAATGTCTGAACATCACTGTAGACGGTCAGAATGCTGAGCTACTCAAGAACGTTGAGCGTCTTTGGCAGATTGACACCCTACCCTACATTAATGAAACAGCAGCCACTCGTTCTAAACAGGACCAATACGCTCTTACACTACTCCAAACTCGCACTACTAGGGTAGAGGTTGACGGCATTCTACGATATGCCACGCCTTTGCTCAAAAGACCAAATGCTGTCACCCTTAAAGCCCCAAAGGAAGCAGTACTGGCATCCCTTCGCAGCACTGAACGGAGACTCGCCAAAGATCCAAATCTGTCTGAAACATAATGCAATGAGATGGACAAACTAGAGAAGGCTGGCTACGTGGCAGAAATCTCCCTTCAGGAAGCTGAGAATTCAGATGAATCCTGGTACATTCCACACCATATGGTGAGACACAATGGCAAAAACAGGATTGTGTTTAACTGTTCTTTCCAGTATCAGGGACAGTCATTAAATGAGCACCTCATTCCTGGTCCCATACTTGGTCCATCTTTGCTTGGAGTTTTGCTTCGGTTCAGGCAGCACACCGTGGCCATGAGCGCAGATGTGCAAGGTATGTTTCACCAAGTTCGCCTACTGCCAGATCACAAGGCGATCCTGCGCTTCCTGTGGAGAAACATGCATAGGACTGAGCAGCCAAAGATCTATGAGTGGCAGGTCCTGCCCTTTGGTACAACGTGCAGTCCTTGTTGTGCTATATATGCACTGCAATGGGTAGCCCACGACAATGGTGAAATTGACCCCACTCTAGCCGAATCAGTCACCCAATCATTCTACGTAGACAATTGTCTTCAAAGTACACAATCAACCGAAAAGGCCAGAGCTCTTGTAGATGGCCTACGGCAATTGCTGCTTACTGGAGGGTTCAATCTTCGCCAATGGGCCAGTAACAAACCTGAAGCAATTGAATAGACAGAAGCAAGGTCACAAAGCGGTGAGCTATGGTTATCACAAACGAGCCCAGATCTTCTGGAGGGCACACTTGGATTGCGATGGAACTGTCTCCGTGATTCCTTAGGATACAGACCTCGCAAAGTAGAATGTCTCAAGCCAACTTTGAGAAATATCTACAAGGTATTAACATCACAGTATGACCCTCTCGGGTACCTAATTCCGTTCACCGCCCAGGCCAAGATACTTGTTCAGGACCTGTGGAAAATTCACCTGGGATGGGATGACCTCATTGAGTCTGACAGCCTACAAAACAGATGGCAAACTTGGGTACAGGAACTGCCCAATTTGGAACAGCTAGAGATTCCCAGATGCTACACTCCATTTCAAGTACATGAGGAAACATTCACCAGAGGCCTGCACATCTTCTGTGATGCATCTGAAAGAGCATATGGCTCAGTATCATATCTACGCACAGAAGACAATAATGACCATATACACATTTCATTCATGTTGGCTCGTTCACGTGTAGCACCTAGGAAGCAAATGTCCATGCCACGACTTGAACTGAGTGCAGCACTTACTGGAGCACAGATGGCCAAAGTCCTCCAAAGGGAGTTCACAGTCACCATCAGGCAAGTCATCCTCTGGTCAGATTCTACCACCGTCCTTCGCTGGCTGCTGTCTGACTCCTGCAGGTATAAGGTCTTCGTAGGAACTCGAGTTGCTGAAATTCAGTCCCTCACAGACATCAATTCCTGGAGGTATGTGGATTCAGGAAATAATGCAGCAGATGACTTAACCTGTGGAAAATCTTTAAAGGAGTTGACACCATCATGTCGCTGGGCTAATGGACCAGACTTCTTGCATCAATCAGAAGCATCCTGGCCAACTTTACTGGAGCAAACAGAGAGATTAAAGAGGCATATGAAGCTATGGTACCCCAACTTAAAAGAGCAATTAGCTGAACAGAAAATCTCCTTCAGATTTATTCCTCCCAGCGCTCCACATTTTGGTGGTATTTGGGAGAGGGAAGTCAAATCAGTGAAACAAGCCTTGAAAGTCATTCTGAAGGAACAGACAGTCCCTGAAACGGTCCTCCGCACTGTTCTTATTGAAGTGGAGGGCATCATGAATGCCAAGCCTTTAGGCTATGTATCAGCCGATATCGCAGATTCAGACCCAATTACACCTAGCATCCTGCTCATGGGACGCCACGACTCCTCCCTCCCACAAGTGATGTATGACTCCAGCAATCTTCTAGGAACCAGGAGATGGAGACATAGTCAGGTACTTGCAGACCAGTTCTGGACCAGATTTATTCATCTCTACCTGCCAAGTCTCCAGGAAAGACAAAAGTGGCAAAAGGACAACGACCAGCTCAGGGTCGACCAGGTAGTGCTCATCATGGACCCTCAACTTCCACGAGCCCTCTGGCTAGTGGGCAAGGTGACCCGCACCTTCCCTGGACCTGACGGACGGATAAGGACAGTTGCAGTTCAGGTTCAGGACCGAACTTATGTCAGACCGGTGGCTCGCCTAATCCCACTTCCCAAACTTGAGGATGATGACAGCTCCAATCCCGCCACTTAAATAGGGCTTACTACCATGTTCAAATGTCCAGAGTGACATTTGGGGGCGGCTACTCTTTCTCTCACGTTTCTCTAACCGGAAACTCCCCTCACTATTTCGACTTGTACCTAAACGAACCCTTGAGCGTCCCATACGCTCGTACACATACTATTACTATTTCTGCCATAGAAAGATATGTTAAAAGTAGTAGGACTAGTGTGTGGCTCCGATTTAATGATTCAATAGCTTTGTTTAAATCTAAAATTGCGAATTGAACTTGTGCGCAAAATTGGAATAACAGCATAAAACATTTGCGAATAAAGCACAGTTGCCACCGTGCACCTTCATGTCAATTTGACCTCAAATATTAGTCAAGACTTGATCAAGAAGCTGTAACTTCATTTTAAATTCAGTTTGGATGGCAATTTCTTCCAGTAGTAATTGGATGAATATAGGAAGTTAATCCCACACTGAAATTGGTTTAATGTAGGCCTATATGTAGACCAATATGTCAGTTTGATTTGCATAATATTTGCATAATATTGCATATTTTTGATATGCATATTTGTCTTTTCAACATCAATTGCCCACTGGGTTTCCATCCAGCGAGACGAAGAGAACAAAAACCCTTTAATTTCCTGATAATCTGGCGACAAATAACACTAAGAAAAAGGTAATTTGCTGCAGTAGAAGCCACTGTGGGTCTTTTTTTTTTCTCCATATAAATTGCTCGAGCCGTAAAGCGTGCAGACGAAACGAGGCGGATACCTGCTGTTTGGGAACGCAGTTGCATAAGATAGTTCTGGGAGGTAATTATACCGAACCACTTTAATGACTTACTTTGGTTTAGGTATTTCAGACTGACCAAAACAACAATTCAGATGCTGTGAATCGAGACCAGTCTGCTGGTTAGTTCAGTTATGCCTTCCCATTGCGCAAAGTCACATGACTTTTTTTTATGCGCATCAAGGATTTTTTTTTTCGGTGTTTCGGATGTTTCCATCGTAGTTTATGCGAATGTTTTCTTTGCGGATAAAAAAAATGTATCCGAGTCAGTTGAGCGCATTTTTAGAATTTATGCGCATCTGGGCATTTCCATTCAGCGTTTTTTATGTGATATCCCGAAATGCGCATAAAAATAGGTGGGTGGAAACTTTAGTGACTCGCTCATAAAGACAGACTTGACTCCTACTGACATAATGTAATCTGCAGAAAAAGCCACTGAAATGCACAGACCGTCTGGAGCACAAAAAGACGGAGGGTTTCCATCCAAAGTTGCGAATTTAACTTGCGCGCAAAATTGGAATAGCTATCGCACAAAACATTTGCGAACAAGCACCGTTTCCATTCAACGAGTCAAAGAAAACAAAATCATCACTTCCTGATAAACTGGCACTATACATCACTAAGAAAAGTAGGAAATATAATAATTTTCCTACATAATAAATTGCACCTCAGAACGAGCAGGCGAAGCACAATGAATGCGGTTATTGCTTTCGGAGGTGGATGCTGCTGTTTGGGAACGCAGTCGTTTAACAGTTCTGGGAGGCAATTATACAGAAATACTTTGATGACAGACTTTTCTCGGGCATTTCCGAATGACCATAACAACATTTCAGATGCTGTGGAATGAGATCAGTCCGCTGGTTAGTCAGGATTTGCCGTCCCATAGCGCAGTCACATGACTTTTTTGATGCGCTTGGAGGAATTTATTCACAGAATGCATTTCCATCTCCCATTATTTGCATGAAGTCAAAAACCACCTCAAACGAGCCTAAAAACGTTTTTTTGCGAATTAATGCATTTTTATTCGAAATTCAGCGTTTCCATCACTCGATTCTGATGCGATACTTCAAAATGCGCATAAAAGCAGGGTGATGGAAACCCAGCTAGAGAGAGAGGAAGACACAGAGAAACAAGTGAAATGTCTGTTGAACTGTATATCACTTTTTGAATGCCTGCTAATCTGTTAAAATTTGACAAATAGAAAATGTTATGGTAGAAATGGAATAGTAAATAGAAATGGAAAAATTCTTAATTTTCATGTTCAGGTTTCCAGCACAGCCAGGGTTTTAATATGAAGCTTATAAGACTCATCAAACTGAAGGTTTAGTCAGTGGTTCACAGTCTTTCTAAAGCAACAAATTAAATGATTCCAGCAGTTTAGTTGTGTTAGCTTATTTTAAATCTGGTGTTGTCTTTAATTTTAAGCCCTTGGAAGTGTGCTGAGGCCCCCTAGTGGGACATGGGCCCCTGAATGAGAACCACAAGTTTAATGATTTCTCCAATGATACAGACTCAGTGTTTGCAATCTCCCCCTTATCAGAAAATCTCTAACCCGGTAACCAGGGCAACACTTGATAATGACTTGTACTGTTGGCATGTGGTGACATCTACTGGTCATTGATGGAACGTCCTCTGTCCATGGTGCTGAATTAGAAAACTAAATTATAGACAATTATTATTTTTTTAAATGCATTGGTAACAAAACAAAAATACTACAATAGTACATCATTCCATGGTAACATCATGTTTTTGAACATTGCAACAGTATTTTTCAAATAGTATTTTTTGAAGAGTGAGACAAATAGCATGGTACATGAATACTATAAATCTCCCCCTTATCAGAAAATCTCTAACCCGGTAACCAGGGCAACACTTGATAATGACTTGTACTGTTGGCATGTGGCGACATCTACTGGTCATTGATGGAACGTCCTCTGTCCATGGTGCTGAATTAGAAAACTAAATTATAGACAATTATAATTTTTTTAAATGCATTGGTAACAAAACAAAAATACTACAATAGTACATCATTCCATGGTAACATCATGTTGTTGAACATTGCAACAGTATTTTTCAAATAGTATTTTTTGAAGAGTGAGACAAATAGCATGGTACATGAATACTATATTCATTCAGTGCTATGGTATGGTTCAGGATTCCATGGTATTACCATCTGATATCATTACTTTACCCTTAGAACCACTACAATGTTTTTTGTAGATAGTAATTATGCTAATAATGTTCAGTATGGTGTGTTTTTACTTTATTTAAATATTGTAAAGTACAGTAGATGACATTTAGTGTAGATAACATTTCTGTTTGTAATAATGTCTAATTGAGTCTTGATATTCCATCCTTCAATCAGATCTGCATTTCCCATGGGGCTGCCTGAGGAATTTGCATTTTCTGGAACCTATCGAATGAGTGGAAGTACACTGAATAAGAGTTGGAATTTGTGGCAAATGCAAGATCTGAATGGAAATGAACAGCTTGCAGTCAGACTCAACGGGGAGGCCCTGTCTGTGGAGTTCTCCTACAGAACCCAAGAGAACAAACTGAAGACAGCTTTATTCCCTTACCAAACACTCCTCTTCAATTCTCAGTGGCACAAGATTTTATTGCTTGTCAAAAAAGGCTCTGTGAGCCTGATAACAGACTGTACAGTAACAGATTCACAGCAGCTGGCACCCAGAGGACAAGTAAACCTAGATGGATTCACGCATATTGGAAAAATTAAGAACAATTCTGCAATAGCTGTGCCGGTAAACTTTTCTTTCTTATACATATTTCTTATTCCATGCTTTTCTTTCTTATTCCATAAGGTCTTTTCATTACTGTTTTAGTACCCTGATATTTAAATGTCCCTCAAAGCAATTAAAAATAAACAATAGTACTTACATATGTCCAAAACATCATGTTATATGTACATATGCACATTCTTTTTCTTGTGGTCACAATGTTTTTGTGTCATTATGAGATGTGAGTTTGGAGGCTGTTTAAAGGCTCAGCAGCAGACTGTCTCTTTAAATGGATTTGGATTTTGCCAAATACATTTCAGCAGATATGTGGGAATTCTAGCAGTGAGGTTCTAGTCCAACAGCTGACCTGCATAAAAACTCTGAATTACTTATGTAGCTGTTCAATTTGAATTTGTGTAAAAACTTCATAGGTTATTATTTACAGGTTTGTGGGTCACTGGTGTGTTAAAGCATAATATGTCCACACATTTATATATATATATTTATATATTTATTTATTTATCTATCAATAAGTATGTACACTACCATTCAAAAGTTTGAGGCTGGTAAGATTTGTTATGTTTTTTTAAAGAAGAAAGACTTCTACCAAGGCTGCATTTATTAAACCTAAAAGACAGTATTATTGTGAAATGTTATTACAATTTAGAATAATTCTATTTTAATATGTAATTTGATGTGATGGTAAAGCTGAATTTTCAGCAGCTATTACTCCAGTCTTCAGTGGCATTTGATCCTTCAGAAATCATTCTAATTTACATTTCTTATTATTATTAATGTTGAAAACAGCTGTGCTGCTTAATATTTTTGTTGAAACTGATACATTTTTTCAGGATTCTTTGGTGAACAGAAACTTCAAGAGAACGGCATTTATTTGTGAAATAGAAATCTTTTGTAGCATTATAAATGTTTTTTTTTTTATTGTCACATCTTATGAATTTTATACCTCCTTGCTGAATGAAAGTATTCATTTCTCTCTAAAAAAAGAAATGGTTTGAAATATGAGGTTTGTGCCTTCCTCTAAGTAATGATGTCAGTAACTTTTGTGTAACTTTTAAATTAAGTGTCACCAAATGATATATGCACATATTATGAGCTCAATCTACCACTACCATCAACAAGAAAACGAATTTAAATTCATTGTTCTGCAAAGATAATTTACAACAAAAAGTGCAACATAAAAAAAGCTATTTTTTGAACAAAAAACTAATCAATCTCTTTTTGAACATTACACATTTTTTGAACATAATAAGCCAATGATAAACAATTCAATACACCCCACAGACTCACATTATCATGATGCTTTTTGATGGTTGTTTGTCTGTTGTTTCAGTTTGAGCTGCAGTCAATGCTGATCCACTGTGACTTAAACATCCCACAGAGAGGCACATGCGGTGACCTTCCTGCAAGGAGAGAGGTGAGACATGTCTAACATCACAATTTTAATCTAAGAAACTAAAAGCCCAAACTTAAAAAACTGCAATGTAATGCTACAGCTCTACTATTTTCCAGCATTCCCACTCTGTCTCCCAAAGACCAATTAGTGTTTGTTAACAGAGGTCAAATGCCACAGTCTAGTAAAATTTCCCGCCGTCTATTCGAATGTCTACTGGACTCCTCCTCTCACTGTGCCACTGTCCTCCAATCACAGACCCGGAACAGACCACCTCATGCATATGTTTGAGGACTCTGTGGTTATGGTCTCCCTTGTGTTCAGATAGTTGAAAGGGGATTTAGTTGGGTTTCTTGGTCGGGGGGTCCGTCAACCCAACTGATCCCAGAAAACAGGGGCTTTTGTGTCTTTGGGGAAATCATGGCTTGCGCTGCAGGTGTGCGCGGGCCCTTTTTACTGATTTTGTTGGAGATAACCGTCATCTGCACGGCACAGGTAAATGCAACCCTTCTTTGTTCTTTTCCTTTTAGATATCCGAGGCAGAGTTTCAGGTGAGTGCTTGAATTTTCAGCATATGTAAAGAAAAATAAACTTTGCATTCTTAAACAGAATCACAAATGCTGTGAGATATTATAGGCTGTACTGCATTTTTGCTTCCATCTGTACGGTCCATATGTTGTAAGTGCACACCTGTTGCACGAAGGTGTTTGAACTGTTTGCTTAAACTTTTTTCGCATGCTTAAACTTAAAAATGATTTGTAGTATATTTTTACCCGCTGGATCATTTTAGTTTTCATATTATATATCCTTTGTATTAAAGCATCTATAAACATATATATGTGAACTCACTATAGGAGAGCATTGTTTACTTTCTATTTTTGAACAGAGGGCTGGAGCCGGCCCTCCTGGTCCTCCCGGTGTGCCTGGAATAGACGGCATTGATGTGAGTTGATTTTTAAAAATGTGAACATAAATTAAAATATAAAACAATTCAATGACCAAAACATTATGCATTACGGAAGAGCTAGAAGTATGTTTTTCTTGCAGGGGGAGAGAGGTGACACCGGTGAAGACGGTTCGGCTGTAAATATCAGTGTGTCATACATTGATATTATAATTTGCTATATAGGATTTTGTTGCATCTTACATATTGTCATTTGTACTGAAGGGTCCTGATGGAGATCCTGGAAAACCTGGTTCTGCTGGACTTCCTGGATCACCTGGAGCTGATGTAAGGAAACGCATTAAAAAAATCTTTTGGATTCTCTTCATAACATGTTGAAATTGACATAGTCTTGTATGGGAAAGCAAACCTCAGTTTCACAGAGTTCAGTCAGTGGTGGGTGGCACTCTGAGACGGGTCAAAAATGCAGGGAATTTCTCATGCCGGACTGAAGCAAAGAACACAGGAAAATGGTCTGTCCAACAGACAACAGGGTTTTTGTTTAAGCACAGATACCCAAAGCCTGGACTTAATTAAAGTGGATTCCCTGTGAAAATGGAAGTAGGGGTTAAAAAAAATATCCAGTCTGGTTTGAGACAGAAGGTCCATGAAGGTGTTGAATGACAGCCGATTTTGTTTTGGCATCGAATTCTGTGACTAACTGAGTAGTCATTGGTTGGTTAAATGTTTGAAACTTCAGCTTACAGAGTGACTAACAAAGTTTCACGCAACAAACCCTCCCCTAAAACACCCTTTTCAATTAAAGTCTGTCATTGTTTGTTATTGTAAGAGGTAATAATGTAACATTTCCCTTCTATGTTCTTCAGGGATTGACTGGCCCCATAGGAGAACTAGGCCTCGATGGCCCCCCAGGACAAAAGGTGAGCGACTATATGAGCTTCTCAGTTTTCTGCTTCAGTAGGGACCAGAGCTCAAATCAGTGTACTGACTGGCCTTGCAGAGGGAATTATCTGAGTCTGTGTGCTCACTGATCTGTGCAGCCAAGTCAGATTCATCAGATCCTGTTAAACTCACCGATGTTCAAACACAGCACTTCACTTGGCCTGTGAAGATTCTATGGCTTTATGTGATTTTCATAACAGTAATTGTGCAGCAGTGTGATTTTTGTGACTTTCAGAACAGTATATACATATGTACTGTATGTATACACACACAATTACAAATTATGCACTATACACTTATTCTATGCACTTTGTACTTAACTGTCTAGTGTATGAATTATATAAGGTTATTTTGTCATCCAACATCAGAGTTTGATAGCCCATCCCCCTCCAGTATGTAACTAAAGCTGTGTCAGTTGAGTGCATGAAGTGTCCAACATTTCACAATTTGTTTTTTTTTTTCGGTTAATTAGTTCGTGCATCATTTGGACATTCGAAGTGCACTTTTTCTTTTTGGAATTTTCAGTGTGAACACAATAATCACATTATTTATACTAAACTATTAAATTATGTACAGTATAATTAAATGATGTTAAGCCTAAAAAGTGACTTTGTGTAATTGAAACAGGGAGAACCTGGCAAACCTGGACCCAGAGGAGAAGCGGTAAGCCTAATCTTGCCATCTTTCAACATCTCTGAAGCCCATGCATTCAATAAAAACACAATTGAGCAGATAAATAGTTGTAAATAGGCATAAAGCTGATCTGTACCCAATGCGCTGCATCTTTGCTTTCATTCTGACAGCAGCTAATGAATACAGTTAGTCAAAAGAAAAATGTTTCTTTATGAGATTATATTATCGTATTCAGTAAATATGAATTGTCATAAACACATTTCAGAAATGGGAAAATAATATATATAAATAAATAAACCTTCTCTGTTTTTTTTAGGGTATTGGACCTGATGGACCAATTGTAAGTAGATTTTGTTTTAATTTGATAATTAAAAAAAGCAGTGGGTGGAGTGGGTTTTGTTTTGGGTTGTGGACACAAAGGTTTAAATTTGATACTTGTTTGCACAGGGACCACCAGGATCAGGAGGACTTCCGGGTGAGCAGGGAAAAGTGGGACCCCCTGTAAGTGACTCTTTTTTTAAATGCATTGCTTAAACAAGCAGCCAAATTAGCCTCGTCTTTCTTTTGCTTTCTTTTTATACTTGTTTCTGCTGATTTCTTGGTGAAATACAAATCCAATGTGTTCTTGACCAGAATCACTCAAATAGAGCCATTGCAAGAAATAAATAGATTTTTTTTGAAAACTTAAAATAAATGAACAAATAAGCAAAAAAAAAAATAAATTAATAAAAAATCATTAAAAATACCAATTTATGATATGTTAATGATGTATAGTTTTACAGTTCATATCTCACTCTGTCCATGAAAAATCAATCTCAGAGTTCATTGTAAGGGCAATAGTTCAGTATACTTCCTCTCATGCTAGGCAAGGCCATGATATATTTTAGTTTCATAAAGAAAAAAAGGACTTTAAACTTTTAACTTTATGTTTTGTTTCATTTAGGTATTTATTTTTGTTGGTGAACTATTTCTGTAGTATTTCTCTTAGTTTTGGTATTTTGTAATTTTATTCAAAAAGTGAGCAATCTAAATGCTTACAGTTAAAGAGTATTCATACAACAATTAAAAATGATGTGTTTCTCTTTGTATAACAGGGAGCCATGGGTGTGAGAGGGCCACAGGGACCCCTTGGACCAACAGGGCCCCGTGTGAGTATTACTGTAATGTTTCAAGAATTACACCATAGCAGTGACCTTTAAACTCAAAACTGTAAATGTGTCACATCAACATTCATTTTGGGGGAAAATATGTATCATGACTTATCATAAATTATCCTGACTTCATTATGTTACACCAACAAAAGTAATTTTAAAAAGTCAGATCATAGTAGAAATAGTAGAAATATTTAACAAATAAGTTAGATAATAAGGTATAAGATTATAAAGTAGATAATATAAGGTAAAAACTGCAAATTTCTGTTCTAAAGTATACAACTAAGACATCAGTATACACAGACTAATTAGGAACATTATGTAGAGCAGCCGTTATAATTATAAAACAACAGGGTGGCACAATTGCTTCCTTAATCAACTATTTGCCCTTTACTTCCTTCAAAATGGGTAAAAACTGTTGTAAAGAAAATCTGTCATGTTTACAGGGTGCTGCAGGGATGCTGGGCGGAACAATGGAACTGGTAAGAGGAAATCTTACTAGGTGCTCCATCAATCCTTTTGTTGCAAACTATATGAAAACCATATTGTTTTCGACATCCACATTGAAATATGTTGTGATAAACAACAATGTGTTTTGAGTAAAGTGCTCCAAGGTGACTATTAGATATTGCTGGACTGAGTGACATAAAGTGACGCTAATTTTTTATTTATTTATTTTTCTGATGTTAAGTGCTCTAATGCATGCCCATCTGGTGCACACTGTCAGGGTCATAAAGGGGTGAAAGGAGAAGCTGGAGAGCCTGGTAAACAAGGACACAAGGCAAGAACTTTATTTACAAAAAGTCTGATAAATTTACAATGACTAAGGAGGAACCAGAAGCATCTGGGTTTTGTGTACATGTGTGTGTGAATGTGTGTGTTTGATGTCAGCATGTGTCATGAAGTTCTCCAGAGTGAATTTGAATGTGAATTAAGCAATAGGTCTGTTGTAATGAGAAAACATCGCGTTTGAGACATTTTTTTCTCCAGCTGTGACATTTTCTAGATTATTACAGAGCTTCATTTATAATTAAGGACTGACGCTCGGGCTGTATTAAGGTGCAGGATGTATTTAAATACTGTCTATTAAAGTTCTGTATAAGAATTACACTCCACCGGTGCATGAAGAATAACGAGGGATTTGAGTGTTGTAAGAATAAGTTACTGTGGTGACATTTAATTCACTCGTGGATGCTTGCTATATTGTCCTCAAGATGCTTGGCTCAGAATCACATCATTTACCTCAATCAAAACTTTGTAATTTATTTTTCAGTATTACGCTAAAAGCAAGACGTGTTTTGAGTAGTTTCGGATGCCATCCCTGCTTTAAAAAGAACATATCTATCTATCTATCTATCTATCTATCTATCTATCTATCTATCTATCTATCTATCATAAATTACTGCCTTTTGTGTTAGGATAACATGTGGGTAATGCGAACAACTGAGTCATTGTGCATTTTGAGGATTTTTAGAATTTTCTTTCTCTTTTTAGGGAGAGGAGGGATATCAGGGGGCACCTGGAGAGGTCGGAGCCCAAGGCCCAACTGTATGTGCATTTCCTGTTTATTTCAGCAATCTACACTAAATCAATGAATTAATCCAGTGGCTATATCTTGATCTAGTCTGAAAGCCTTGTTTCAATGATGTGCTCTCAGGGTTCACAGGGAATTCGAGGTGCCACTGGTATGATTGGTACCAAAGGAGAAACGGTAAGATTTCGATAGAGGTTGATAGAAATGTGAAGTTGTTTAGTTTATTTCACAATGTGGTAAAAACATGTAGTATCAGGGGGAGGGACATTCTCATTCTAGACAGCATTTGATTGGACAAATATTTGTATACACCCCTGCATACAAATTGAGAATTCAATATATTTGTCCATTTTCAATGAAGAGAAAGACTATATTGTAAATGCATTTATATAAACTAAAAGTCATAAAACTACTGTTTAGAGAATCAAAATGTTACTAATTAATAAAAAAAAAAGAAAATTAGAGTGGCATTAGATTGTATACTGCAACACTGCAACAGACAATTGATAATGAAGAAAAATGTAATACAAAACACAGAAAATAAATAAATAAATCTGAAAACAATATGTTGTTATTTTTTACAGGGGCCTCGAGGTGTTGATGGGGACCCAGGCCCTCAGGGTGTTGCAGGGGCGATGGTAAGTACTTTAACTTCCTCTATCTTCTTCAAACTAAACCAATCTAATCTAAAGCTGTAAACAATCCTGAAACAGGAAAGTTCTGCCTCTCTATCACAGTTGAAGGTTTCAGCAGTGGGCATGACTTGAAGTTGATGTCCTGAGCCTTGGGTGTAAATCAACAAATCAATATTAGCAGATATCTGAGGTGTGTTCTTTTTATCTAGGGGGATCGAGGCCAAAGAGGAGGAATGGGAGAAATTGGCCCTAAAGGTGAACAGGTATGTGACAACCATCATTATAACAACAAAAATTGCACACAGTATAAGTTTAAGAGGTTTTTGTTTATTAAATTAGCCTGTGAGAAGTTGCCCATGATAAACTGGATCCTAAATGGGATTTAGTCATGTAGGACATGATCCAGGATCAACATCCTTGTTAGACCTGGAACAACATTCAAACAACCAAACAATGTTGGTCCAGGAACATGCCCTATTTGGCTATATCCTCTCATGCTAAGGGTAATACAGTACATCTGATTCTGATTTTAATGAATGTATCTCTTTCTGCAGGGACCTCAAGGGCCGAGAGGCAATACTGGTCTTCCAGGGCCGAAGGGAGGCAGTGTATGTGGTTTACCATAAACTTTCACTTCTTTTAATGAAAATGCTGCTGGTACCCTGGTGGTACAGTGATGGTGTCAGATGGTAATAACATGAAAAACATGGTAGTATGGCAATTTTTGGTACTTTTTTGTTAGTGTAGATAAAAGAATTTGCTTAAAGACTTTTGTAAGCATCCAAACAGCACCAATCTGTGTCTTTTTTCCAGGGTTTGCCAGGTGTGGATGGACGTGAGGGAATCCCTGACATGCCAGGTGCCAAGGTACAGCAGAGTCTGGCATTCGTTATTCAACCATGGCCATGTAAAAAGTGTGACAGTGGTAATAGTACTTTATTTTATTTTTTTTACTTTTTACAGGGTGCCACCGGAAAACCTGGAACTCTGGGGGAAGTTGGCCTTCAAGGACTCCCTGTAAGTCTTACAGTAGAAAAAAAAAAATGCATTCGATATATGAACTTCCATAATGACTGTGAAGAAAGTCAAAAATGTTTGCCAGAGAATAAGAAAGTTACGTTTTTTTTTAATTGAAATATTTGACAGCATTATCGGTTTATTTTGTTTTTGATGAAATAAATGCAGCCTTAGTTAGCATACTGTTAGAGACTTCTTTCGAAAACATTAAAAACTTACCAACCCCTTTTAAATACGTTTAAACAGTATTATATCCTAACTTTCAGCTTCTTTCTACAAGATGTAGCACAATGAGTCACTTTCATTTTATCCTCGTCAGACATGCTTTTGTTACAATATCATGTTCAACCTGTCTCCTTTAAAGCTGTTAAGCAGATAGCTCACTATAGCAGAGCATAAAAAAGTCAATCATTTATTTCAATTTCAAATTTGTGCATGTTGTGTCTGCTCCATTTCATGGCAGGGGCAAGATTATAAAATACCTCTCTGACTTTCTGCAGTATGATGTCAGCTCTTCATGACTAATTCACATCGTCATTCATTTTGAGACGGTTTAAATCCACCCCTTGGATTTGACTTTGATCTTACAGAACAAAGAGAAGGCATTTTACTTCCTTCAGGAGACGTAGCTTTAAAGCAACTGCATTTTGATATTTAGTGACTTTCTCTTCCATATCTGCAGGGTTTACCAGGAAGCCCAGGTCCAAAAGGTGGAGCTGGAGAGAAGGTGAGAGATGTTGCTGAATTGATGTGTGTTCGGTGCAAAGTCATCACATTTTTTAACACCCTGAACTGACAAAAGCTTTTATCAGGACAATGACACAAAAATAATTTTCCATATGTTTCAGAACCACTGACTGTTAAAGCTGAAACTACTATTTTTTATTTTTAAATATTTTCTCCCATCCTAGTTTGCTATTCAGAGACTAACTAACTAACTAACTAACTAACTAAATATGTAGGTTGGTTTTAGCATTTTGCCAATATTAACATTCTGGCTGATACACACTCCCATTATTTTAATGTTATGGCTGATAAATAAATAAATGGCCAATATTAAAATCTATACTATTTTGTCTAAATAAATTAACAACAAAACACTAAAAACAAAATCAATCAGTTGCTAGTGAATTTAGGCATCACAAAATTATAATGTATAGTATGAAAAATGGATATTCATTTTGAGATTTGCTGAAGATTACATTTAACAGTGTTATTTTATAATTAAAATTATTAGTGTTTTTTTTTTTAAGATTGAAAGATTACTATTATTAAGAATATAGATTTTAAGGTAAATTCTAAATGTAATTTTTTTTTTTTTCTTGAAAAGTGTAATACTGTTGCTTATTATGAACACTGTGTGATATACTCTCTTACAGGGTAATGCTGGACAATCAGGCCTCATTGGTACTATGGGATCTGCAGGTAAAGCGGTAGGTAAACCACCCAATAGCTAATTACAGATCTGTAATTATTGTGCAGGAACAGATTGTCTGACAGTAAATGTCTCTGTTCAGGGTGAGCGTGGAGAACAAGGAGAAGTCGGACCCATTGGGTCTATTGGACAACCTGTAAGTACCCAGAGCAGTATGACTAACGGCTAATAGACAGGCTGGATGTGTCTGTATTTACTCACCAAGGAATATTTCGCAGATGATGATAGTTTCCTTGTGTTTAGGGAGAACGGGGAGAGCAGGGGCCACCTGGGCCGATGGGGAAACCAGGAGCCAGAGTAAGTGCATAATCTGAATAATGATATGGTTGTGCTATCAAAGCAAGCATCTGCCGTACTGTCATCATGCAAATTGATGAACAAAGTAAAAACCTTTGCCTGTAGAGAAATGGGTGTCCTTAGGTTGCGCAGAGGTTTCTCTTTTATGGCTCAGCATAACATGTTCAAGTATGAACCCTGCTTCAGATGTTCCTCCTAAAAAAGAAATAAAAATAGACACAAATTATAACAAATGTTGGCTAGCTATACAATTAATGTGGATGGTATAGTTCAGATTATTTGCTCCTGGAAGAGTTTAATGAGAAATGTTTGAGTTCAAAATTGAAATCTCAGAAGAAGAAGCAGGCGATTTTCAGGTTTCATTTGTCTTAATTTGTTCTCCATTTTGTCTACACTGCAAAAATAATTCATCTTAATTAGTATTGTATGCCTTTTGTCCAGAACAAATATCATAACATCCTTAAATCATTTTGACTGCAATGCGAAATAGTATTTTTTTTTCATATATATATATATATATATATATTTGTTTACATCATTGGCAAATTGTTGTTTCTTGTTTTAAGCATAAAATATACTAAACTTATTTATGTATTTATTTATAAAGAGGAAAATAATCTCTCACAGTTTTGTTGACAAGTAAATTCATCTTGTTTTAAGGCTGTTTAGATATTTAGTTACTGGAAAATGAGACAAACATAATGAAAAGAAAATGATTTTGTGCTGTGTTGGAGAAACTACATTAAAACATTTTTTTTCCTATAAGCTGGCAGCAAACCCAGAGTTCAAAACAAGTCATAGACAGCGCTACATTTACATTATTCTATTATCCCAGTGTTCAAAGAGAAAACAAGTCATTTTGACATCCACTAAGCTCGATCGCTTTTACTTATTTAGACTGTCTGGTGCGCAGTGAATTCTAAAACTTTTCACTAATAGTCTTTGAGGGGAATTCGTGACTTTATATTGTGGTAATTTGAAGGTCAAACCAAGGCAAATATTCATAGTTCTGAAATGCAGACACTGCTGGTAAGCAGTGGAAGAGATTGGAGCCAGCGGTCTCTCTCTCTTGAATGGGATCTCACCTCACTGTTTTCACAGTAAAGAGTAAACAGTCAAAAGAATGTCTCACAGCAGTGTCTCTCAAACAGCCCTCTGTTCCCCTGCCATTCCCATGAGCACACACTTATCTACACACACAAACACTCACGTTTAAACATGAATATATTATGTAAGTATTGTGAATAAATTGCAACATTATAATTTTTTTTTAAATTAAAAAATATATGGGTTTCAGCAGGTTTTATGAAGGAAAATTCAAGACTTTTCAAGACCCTTTTAAGACCAAGTAAAAAAGAAATAAAATAAATAAAGAATCAATTTAACGGAAACAATTCATCAATATTTGCCAATGGGCTCAGAAAAATCAACTTAATTTTAAAGGGAAAACAAGGTTTTGTTCTTGTTTTAAGGATAAACTCACCTATTTTTTGTCTTTTTATCCGAAAACAAGACTTTATATGTTCACTTTTCATCCCAAGTGAATGTATCGTGATTTAAGGATGCTTAGATATTTATATTAAAAAACAAAACAAAAGTACTAAGAAAGATTTTGTTTTGACCTTTTTAGAACTTAATTTGTGGAAGGGCACATTAAGACTTGAGACCTTTTTCAGACCCGCAGAATATCATTTTATGACACAACTGAAATGCAGTATTTACAAACATATGTTCAAAATTTACATTTATATATTCCAGTTCATAAATATATATTAAAATTGTAACTATATATTCAGATTTATAGCTACATATTCAGCTGTAATCATGTATATAATTGTATATAATTACCCTGCATACTTACAGCTATTTCCTATATATATATATATATATATATATATATAATGTATATGTGTGTGTGTGTGTGTTAGAAATGTTATTTATTGATTGATTGTTTGATCAGTTGACTGATTTACAGTACAATACCATTTGTAATGACAAAACTCTGAAACAATTCGCAAGACTTTAGAATAAAAAAAATTATTCAATAAAAAAAAGGCATCAATTAAATGCCTCAGTTGGAGAGTGAATTTCAGTTAAAACATATAGGCTTAGAGTGAAAAATTTAAGGAGGTCTGAATACTTTCCGTACCCACTGTAAGTATAGAACTGTAGATTAAATCAGCAGTGTAGAAAACACTGATGTACATTCACATACCAAATGTATCAGCATTTGCCGTTTTGTCCTGATCTTGCATTTTCTCAGACTGCACTCTCTTTTTAAAAATGCATGAGAGTGTTTTTGCAGGGGAACTAAAGGATTCTGCAGTCTTTTCTCTTTATTGACAAAGGTTTTGAACCTTTCCCATCTGTTTGGAAATCCTGCAGTGAGACAGGAAAGAATATAAAAAGACATCAAGCAGAATTTTACAGTAAATCCCAGACTCTGACTGCATGTCTTGTTACGTTGATTGTCTTTTCAGGGTCCTAAAGGTGACTTGGGCTTGCCTGGACTTCCTGGACCACCAGGCCTACCAGGAATAAAAGGAGATAGGGTGAGGATATCTCTGCCGACCACATTTGAAGAGATTTTTTTAAATGTCAAAATATCTCAAACTTTTCTCTTTAAATTGCTGTTACCTTTTTCAACATGATTTTGTTCCCTGGTGAATTGATAAAACCTGTGCACCCTGACTTCTGGAAATTGAAGTCAGGAATTGTGATTGGTGCTTGTATCCTTAATTCTATATTATTAAGGAACAGCAAAGTGTACTTGGAGTTCTGCTACATCAACATTCCTGTAACTATTACAAAAAGTCATCTGTAGCTCTTTAAAAACCGCTAACCTCTTTATATTCACTGTTCTTGCTCAATTAGACAGTGAGGGTTCCACTTTTCTAGCCTTTAAAGCACTGCAATTATTATGTGCTCCCATTGGTGTTTTAAAGTTTAAAAAGCTTTGAAAGTACAATGAGGCTTTTGAAAATCAAACTGGTGCATTTTAGATTCAATGATTTCCTTAATGCATTTGAAAAAAGAACTTAAGCACCTCAAACAGATGTAGGATTAATAGAAAGAGCAAAATTCTGAGCGTACATTGAGTAACTGTTGCTTAGTTAAATATTCATGGGAATGAATTTCTGAATGTGATATTACACAGGGTGAAGCAGGAGAACCTGGACCAAAGGGAGAACAGGTAAGAGCATGATTCACATTATCATCAGATACAGCACTGCAGAACTAAACTACCCCAGATACTTTTAAAATTAATGCAAAAAACTAATGTAAAAAAGGCTATACATGTATTTAAATGAGTTTATTGAAGTTTTTGATTGAACATTATTTATTCAGGGTATCATTCAGAGAACTAAAGCAAAAAACAAAAATATGCCCTGTGATAAAGGGCTTTTACCATGGTTAAAGGACACCAAACCCTTTAAAACGCATTAAAATCACTGTAACAGCCAAAATCAAATGGTTTATTGCATCTTGAATTATATAGTTTACATCTATATAATGAAAGACGGCAATATTTATTAATAATAAAAATCACAAACCAGTTCTCTCACCAAGTAATATAGTTCCTGTTGGCTATGAATGCAGCTCACCCAATCACATTTTATAACCAAAACAATCTATTCTCAAAGTCTTACAGTAACAGAACTAGACACATAACAGAACATAGACATCCCTCACAGTGATGTGTTTTATTGTAGGGAGCTCAAGGTGCCGAGGGAACACCAGAAGACAAGGGAGATGTTGTGAGTAAAAGCTCGGAAATACTGAGTTGAAAATAATATGAATACAGTATGCAAATGTACACTGAGTTTTGAGATATTGTAGTGCATTGTAATTCTCTTGTTGTTTCTGTACTTAGGGTGACCCTGGCCAACCTGGAGCTAAAGGAGAAGTGAGTTTTTGATCAGTATTCTTTTATGAACTTTTGACTACTGTCTATTCGGCACTTGGCTCTGACTTTAGATAATCCATGAAGAGTTTTCCTTGGCTTTATCTCAGCTCACTCTAGTGCTTAGATATAAAAATGAAATGCTATATTGTAATGATTTACCGTATGAAGATGCTAGTATTACATCTAGTTGTATACTTACGTCTCTGGTGTAAATTCAGGTAGGTAACCAGGGGGATCCGGGTAACAGAGGACCAGAGGGTGCCCGTGGGCAGCCTGGCATTGAGGCGCCTTCTGGTAGTCCTGGACCACGTGGCATGCAGGGGAACAGAGGAGCTCAATCCATGAAGAGTTTTCCTTGGCTTTATCTCAGCTCACTCTAGTGCTTAGATATAAAAATGAAATGCTATATTGTAATGATTTACTGTATGAAGATGCTAGTATTACATCTAGTTGTATACTTACGTCTCTGGTGTAAATTCAGGTAGGTAACCAGGGGGATCCGGGTAACAGAGGACCAGAGGGTGCCCGTGGGCAGCCTGGCATTGAGGGGCCTCCTGGTAGTCCTGGACCACGTGGCATGCAGGGAAACAGAGGAGCTCCAGGACCTCGTGGCACCCAGGGACCAGCGGTATGTTACCAACCTTTGAAAGAGAGAGTGATTAACAATTACACTTCATGAGCCAATTCTGTGCAAGGTTATTAAAAAAGACAGACACAAATAGAGTTTGCCACAAATTTCTCTTCACATGTAAATATGCATTATCGATGTTCTATCTGCTTTTTAAGACCATTTTCTTGGTAGTTTTCATTGTTTTGTTGCACATCCTGATTTTGCTTTGCATGTACTGTACATTACAGTTCAAAAGTTTGGGGTCAGTATGATTTTTTTATTTTTTATTTTTTTTTTAAAGAAATTAATACTGTTATTCAGCAAGAATGCATTAATGGCTGCAATATAACAAAGAGTGAAAAATTGAAGGGGGTCTGAATACTTTCCGTACCCACTGTACATTACAGTTCAAAAGTTTGGGGTCAGTATGATTTTTTGATTTATTTTATTTTTTTGAAAGAAATTAATACTGTTATTCAGCAAGAATGCCTTAAATTGGTCAAAAGTGACAGTAAATACATTTATAATACCATCAAAAAATATATTTCAAATAAATAAATATTTTTTTTATTTGTATTCATCAAAGAATCCTGAAATTTTTAGCACAGCTTGTATTAAGCAGCACAGCTGTTTTTAAAACATTGACTTAAAATTGTGATAATTTTTTCACAATATTACTATTTTACTGTATATTTGATCAAATAAATGCAGCCTTGGTGAGCATAAGAGACTATAAAAATAGATAAATGAATAAATCAATTCTTACAGACCCCAAACTTTTGAACGGTAGTGGTTATATTGCTATATATCTATTTATTGCTATTCTATCAGCTTATTCAATGTATTCACATGTTTTTATAATGAGTTGATTTTTTGGTAACTATCGGCATTAAACAACCTCATACATTTTTTCCCAATTATTCTGTATTATTCATGTGTCCACATTGTGACATCAAAACCAGAGAAAATATGATTTCAATAGGTACAGGGCTCCTACGGACATTGAAAACCTTTAAATATTGTAAAATGTAAAACTGTAATTTCCAGTCCTGTAGGTGTCTATAGTGACTATAATTTTGTTCTGTTATGCTTAATTCAAAATATACTTAATTGGCAAATAATTGCTTTTTGTTAGTGCAGTCTTGAATGAATTAATATTTTTAATCCTTATCCAATAATCATGAATAATAGGAAAAGTTTTAGAAACTAGAAAATTCAATTGCCAAAATGTGTGGAAACCCCGTTGTTGTCAGCGTTTTGTTATACACACTAATTTTGTTTGGAAAGGTACGTCAAGAAAAAAAAAATCAATGATCAGAAACAGTACTGTGATATCTGAAACATTCTGCAGCTTTTAAGAACACTTACATCCAATTCCAATATTTTTCTTTGTTATTTTCTGAGGTAGAGCTGATTAGTGGTTTGAAATGAGATGAAATGATCAGAATACAGTCAAATGATTGTGATTTTCTTCCAAACAACTCCTCCTGTGTTTACAGGGTAAAGAACCAAGTGATCAACACATCAGACAAGTGTGCATGCGTGTTATGCAGGGTGAGTCTGGAAGCAAAGATTTTTATAATTTCAGAATTAAACGTAATTTCCCGTTTAAGCATGCAGAGCCACTCTTTTGCCGCCAGTGCATGACTCTATAAAAAAAAAAAAAAAAAAAAAAAAAAAAAAAAACCGCCTTTGAAGAATTGTTTGTTTTCAATGCTTCGGAGTGCTTATCGACATCACATATTTTCAGTAAAAATTCATACTGTTTTATTATTTATGTTAAATTGTAGAACAGTGATGAAGAGACATTATTATTTTGCAATATATTTCTGACAACTTCGCACAACTACAGAGGATCTGCGTAGTGACAGTTCCACAGATGGATGTGTGGCTGCAATGCTTGTTGCATGCTGTATTTGGGATAGTTCACCCCACAATTTTGTCACATTTTCTCACACTATATAACACATTTTCTCATATAACCAAAACAGTTTGGTTACCAGTGTTCTTCATCTTCCTTTATGTCACACAGAAAGAAAGCCATACATGTTTGGAAAGACATGAGGGTGAGAAAATGTCAGAATTTTCATTTTTTTGGATGAACTATCCCTTTAACATTAGAAATATGCAAATAGGAATCTTAACCCATGGTTTAAAAATGTACAGTCTGCAATATAAAACAAATACTACACTGTATTAATTACTAGCTCACTAAGCAGTTTGAACAAAAAATATTTCTGTCATGACAACTCTCGGAGGGATTGGCATGGTAATGTACATGACAATGTTAATGTATTTGGTCTTGGCGGAATAGATCTGCTACGCTGCTGCTGCTGCGGCAGAGCAAGTACCGAGACTTGCTACTGCCAATACATCCACAACATGCTGCTGTGAGGATGTAAGAAATATTGCTGCTGCAAATATAACATACATGAAATTACCCCATGTAGCATACATGAATCAACTCATAGCAGATCTATACAGGTGGAGCTGGGGAAGATGGAGGGTTTCTGAAGCAAGCTGCAACTGCTACGGCAAGCACTAGTCATATATTTGAATGTTGAGCAGCGAGCTCATTGGCTACCGATACAAGAGAGAACCAATCAGCTGTGCCATGTGATGATGTCATTAGGTCAGATTGAGTTAGACTGCGCCATCTAGAGTTTCATGCCAGAACTCTGTATATATTTAACAGCATAATTTCCAAATTAAGCTGAGGCTATACAAAGCACATGAATATTCAGCGAGGTAGCAGTGAAGCACTTTATTATTGGTTGTTTACTGGTCATAACATTCTTGCTGGTCATAACATTTCTGAGTTTCATAAACAATAGCTAAAACAGCTTTACTCAAGGATTAAAGTCGGTATAAAAAATGAACATTCACTATGTCTATTTTCGAAATTCATGTTATAGATGTTATTTTGAACAATTCATCCGTACATGTTTTTGAACTCGTAATGTTTCATTAAAATATCATAATAGGATCTTCCAGTGAAACGTCAGACTTCTCTCTGGTGATGTATGCAGGACTTCTCCAATCATTTAATCCACTTAAACTTCACCCCTGTAACCTCACATTCATCTGCCCCATTTTTGAGTGCAACACCCACATCTTAAAATCCAGTTAGCAACTGATGCATAGAACCAAGTACCTGTCCTGCATTTTGGACTTTTTTTGATAATCCATTACTCTCAAATGTACATCATTATACGGAAGAAAAGGTCTGACGCTATTTCTGTTTCATTGCAACTTTAAGTGTAGTGTACAGTGAAGGAATCATGTGAGGGCAGAACAGGAAGATGTATCGTCCTCAAGGAGGCGCCCTAACATTAGTACAGAAACACAATAGACAAAACACAAAGCAGTCAGTGTGCAGTGTTAGATGACTCTAATTAGTGAGTGCAACTGCAAAATCAGTGGATAAATGAAATAAAAATGAGTTGTGCTAATAGCAGGGGACCGTTCACACTCATTAGCGCATTTGGTCTTTGCTATTTCAGAGCAGTTGGCCCAATTGGCTGCCAGTCTGAGGAGACCAGAGTCTGGCGCGGTCGGACTGCCAGGCAGACCCGGTCCCCCTGGTTCTCCCGGACCCCCAGGTGACAGTGGCTTTCCTGGGCATGCTGGTGCAAGAGGGCTCCCGGGACTCAAAGGGCCTCTGGGACTTTTGGGTCTCAAGGGGCCGAAAGGTGAGTCATTATAGGACTGTGAGTTCAGACTGCTTTTGGTACTGGAACAACAACTAGAGCAGGGTATCCCAAATGGGAGTTCAAGAGTTGATAAAAAGCTAATAATTAAATTGAATATACATTTAAAATAAATAAGATAAAACAAAATAAAACACGTACTAAAAAAAAAAAAGCTTACATATTTTATCCATTTACTTGCATGTCACCTTTAACCGACACCAGAGCAGTGTTATTTTAGTATCATTGAGAAACTAATATAGTTTTTATTAATAGTTTGAATCAGTGTTTATTTTTAGATTTTCCACTTTCATTTTAATTTCAGTTAAAGTTTTAGTAATTTTATTGTGTGTTTTTGTCATTGTTTCATTTTTATTTGTTTTTAATTTTATTTTGTATTAAATTTGTTTTAGATTGTCACTTTAGTATATCAAGTTAAACTAAATTATGAGAAATGATGTAGCTAGCTGCAAGTATTATTTTTATATTTTTATTTCAGTTAACATTTATTTTTAAGTCACGGCAAGGCAATTTATTACTAAAGCACGATTACAAACAACAATAAGTTGACCAATGTGCTGTACAGATTCTAAAAACATAGATAAGCAGACAATATATACACATCACTTACACAGCACAGAGCATCAGACCAATTAACAAACAAACAAAAAACAGTTAGTTTCCAACAACATGTCATTGAATATAAAACTGAATATAAAAGTCATGAAAAGGAGTTTTTTTTTTAGGTTTAGCTTCAGTTTTATTTTCCTAATAATCCTGCATACTGAGAACATTCAAAAATCTCAGGGTGTACGGTCTGCTGACAAAAAAGTTTGGGAACCCCTGAACTAGAGTCATGTGTGTAAAGGCACAGTCATGTCAGTATTTGAACTAGTGTGTGTGTGTGTGTTACAGGTGAGATGGGAGACAGAGGGGGCAGGGGACCTACAGTTCGGGGACCCAAAGGCATGCCGGGACCTCCTGGACTACCAGGTCAGTTCTGACTCAATCTCATGTCCTACTTCCTCTTGTCAAAAAAAAATCATGGTATTAATGCATAAATAGAAGGGGAGTTAAAAAATATCATCTGCAAACCAATTCAGTCTGAAACAGCTCAATTAATTTCTAAAATGATGCTGGAGATATATTTAGCCCCATCCTGGTAATAGACTTTTGAGAGCAAAGTTAAATTGGTGTTAAATGAAGCTGTCAGATGTCTGATGAATTGGAGGTATATGAAGCCTTCTGTTGTCTTTGTATATGTGCCACTGACGCTTACTGTCAGTCGAATGAAGCTGTCTGTTTAAATAGGATTTCTTGCAGTCGTTACCTAGTGCTCTAATTGTAACAGACAGATCTGCTGCAGTGCCATGTGCTGGTTTTCAGCTTTATATTTTCAAGCATTGAATTCTATAGAAACTTGCTTCCACCACAAGATGAAACCATTAAAATCTCACAATTCTGAGTTTACAGGCCATATTTACTAAACGGTAAATTAGCATGAGAGCGCAATCCCATAAAAACTCAGATGGGAGTGGAGAGTTCTGCATGTGATCTGCTTTTTTGGGTGTTAGACATTACATCTTGCAATTCTTCTGACTTTTTTCCTCAGAACTGCGAGATGTAAACTCACAGTTACAAGTTATAACTTGCAACTGTAAGATATAAACTCTCAATTCTGAGAAAAAAAAAAAATCAGATTTGTGAGCTATAAACTTGCAATTGCGAGAAAGAAGTCTGAATTGTGAGATAAAAATGTAGTTGTATTTTTTTTATTCCGTGGCAGAAACAAGCTTCTGTATAATTAAGTACTTTAAAATATTAAAAAAAAATGTATGCTAAAAAAGTAATCACCCAAATTCTGGCATTTACTCACTCCTGTGTTGTTTCAAACCTGTATGACTGACTTTCTTTGGTATAACCATAAAGGAGATGTTTAGCAGAATATAGGTGTTTTCTCCTTAAAAGACAAGAAATAAATGTCGACAAACACAGAAAAATTCTAAATGGACACAAAATGCCATAACGATAGTTCATATGTGACCCTGGACCACAAAACCAGTCATAAGGGTAAATTTTTCAAAATTGAGATTTATACATCATCTGAAAGCTGAATAAATAAGCGTTCCATCGATGTATGGTTTGTTAGGATAGAACAATATTATACAATATAGGCCGAGATACAACTATTTGAAAATCTGGAATCTGAGGGTGCAAAAAAAATCTAAATCTTGAGAAAATTGCCTTTAAAGTTGTCCAAATGAAGATCTTAGCAATGCATATTACTAATCAAAAATGAAGTTTTAATATATTTACAGTAGGAAATTTACAAAATATTTCATGGAACATGTCGTTACTTAATATCCTAATGGTTTTTGGCATAAAAGAAAAATCAATAATTTTGACCCATCCAATGTTTTTTTGGCTATTGCTACAAATATGACTGTGCGACTTACTGGTTTTGTGGTCCAGGGTCACATATGTAATGTAAAAACACCATGAAAATTGGTTATTTGACTTCAATGACTCTAAAATCTCATTCAGGTTTTTGTCCATGTGGAAATGCAAATGAGACTGACCTTAAGCTTTGGTCTTATGCAATCTAAAATAAGAGATGACTGAGCTGTTTCTGTCTTGCAGGTGAACCTGGAAAACCAGGATACGGTCAAGATGGGCGTGATGGAGAACGGGGTCCACCTGGTGCCCCGGGTCAGCCGGGTGTTCCTGGACCTCCTGGTTCAGCCGGACCACCCGGTTACTGCGATCCTTCGGCCTGTAATCTGAGCGCAGGTGCCGCCCACCAGTCCCTCAAAGACTCTAGCATGAAGGGACCAGGCGGAAACTAAAAACCTCACTGTTCAGGACATTCAGAGAGACTCCGCTACAGCTCTGCGAAAAGCACAAAACGTTATCGCCCTTTGCAGATAATTTTACAGCTGTAATGCCTAAAACACTTTGCCAACTTCCTGTGTACAGAAAACGGCAACATTTCTTGATCCAAACAAATAAGACACTTTTTTGTTCACCTTAAGTTATATGTTGGTGCAAATGAACTTTCACAGAACTTATTGCCCATCTAATGTAATCCCATTTCCTGTAGACTTTAGAAGTTTTTTTTCCTCAACTCATACTAAATCTGCTCTAGGAAGTGAACAAACATCAATGTGGCCTTCAGACCGGAGGCCTTTTTAATTTCTGTGTGCCAAAGATAAACCTGCCAGAAATATTGATGGTGCTGGAAGTTCATAACTGAAACGGCTGCCAGAGACCTGCTGTCAGAAACCAAAAGGAGAGAGGATATATCTAGATATGCTGCAATATATTCTGTACATCAATGTAAATGATTTAAATGTGGTTTTGTAAGAAATTCACTCCCCGCTAAAGAATATCGGTGATTTATTGTTCCAGGATTGTGGGCGGGAAGGCGATGCATGACCCTTTTGTGACATATACACATGAGAGAAATGCAGATGTGTCGTTTCATGGTATTTCTATTTATTTTACATAGGTGTTCGATGACGATGAAGTTTGTACAGAGATCCAAGGGAAACACATTTGAATAAATTTGATGTTTTTATATGATTTCAGAATAAATGTCTCAAACATTCTTATGCTTTTTCCTCTTTCAAGTAACACTTCCTCGTTGAATAGCCCGACTGCACTTATCTCAGCTTTTTCCACTCTCTTTCTCTCTTAAATAACTCATTACATGCCAGTGCAAAAATGTTGGCACAAACACATTTCGTTTGCTCTTTCAGTGTAGATGCTAATTTAAATGCTGGCAAACTGAACTCTGCAATTAATCAGTAAGGGAGATTTTAAGTAAGAATGACATAAAATGTCATTCACTTCAATTAAAACTTAAAACATCAGTACAGACTAGACAATGGTTAAGCATGAAGTGAAAGCATGTTTAATATTTAAATTATTTAAACGTTAATTAAAAAGATAAATTTCATTAATACATAAAGTGGCCTCAAAGAGCATTTGGACACTTTAGACACGATTTAGACGCATGCCATTGCATTAGAAAAAACAAAAACAAAACATTTCACAAAACAAAGTTATGTTTTAAACAATAAGACTTTAAAGGAATAGTTCACCCAAAAATGAAAAAGTGCTGAAGATGTACTCATCGTCAGGGTTGAAGATGTAGATGAGCTTGTTTCTTCATCAGAACAAATTTGAAGAAGTTAAGCATTATATCACTTGCACACAGTGAATGGGTGCCGTCAGAATGAGAGTCCAAACAGCTGATAAAAACTCACAAGTAATCACTATTGTGTGAAGTGAAAAGCCTTGTGTTTGCAACAAACAAATAAATCCATGCATTTTAACTTTAATCTGTTGCTTCTGGCCAAAATATGAGTCCATAATCCATAACAATGCTTCCTCCAGTGGAAAAATCCATGCACTGTTGTCCTCTAACATCAAAAATCCACCAACACATTTGTTTAGAACTGTTTTAGACTGTTCTTACCTGTAAATGGTGCTTGATCTACATATAAAAGCGTCTGCAAAATGACTAAATGTAAATGTAAATGTGATCTCGTCATATTTCTCTCCTGATTCAGACAAGATGACTATATTGAGAAAGCAACATAGATAGAGGACTTGTATTTTAACCGGAAGCAACAGTTTAAAGTATAAAAAATGATGGTGATAATTCATTAAATAATTCATCATTAATGTCTTAATGATGGATTTGTTCATTACAAACATGCAGCTTTTCACTTCACCAGACAATTGACGGACTGGAGTCGTGTAGATTACGTGTGGATTATTGTGATGTTTTTATCAGCTGTTTGGACTCTCATTCTGACGGCACCCATTCACTGCAGAGAATCCATTGGTGAGCAAGTGATATAATGCTAAACTTCTCCAAATTTGTTCTGATGAAGAAAAACATCTACATCTTGGATGGCCTGAAAAGTGAGCCCTTTTATTTATTTATTTTTTAAAGCAAATGTTCATTTTTGGGTGAACTATTCCTTTAAGTGTCCAAATTCTTTCTGAGGTCACTGTTCATATTCAAATCTCTTGCACTCAACAATCCAAATGACAACAATATAAGTGGAATGCTGAAAGACTGAACTTGAGCATCCTGAAAACACAAACTAATGCATAAAATTATAAACAAAATAGCAAATCTTTGTACAGCATATAATCTACAGTAAATATTAAATGTATTGCAATATGGCATAGAGTCACACAAGTATGAGAAACACCCAATACAGTTAAATGAATATTACACATTACACCCAAAAATGTACAAAAATTTCTCAAATCAGGTATCTAACTCTAAAATGATGGTAATGAACCGAACATGTTAGTACATTCATAGTTTAATCTATAACAGTCTGCAATGGCAATAATTCTCAACTTTTGCCTACCATTTAAACTGAACTCCATGCTCATATTGTCTCTCATGAAGTATGTATTGATTCACCACATTTCACAATGAATTGCCATTAAGTCAGAAAAATTCAGTTGCATATTGAGAGACATGCAAGACACTACTGTTTCACAATGAACGTTAAATTAAATACATTTATTAAAACATGTAATGTACAATTATATAAATATGCAAACCAAATGCATTTACACAAGCGCAAAAAGGCAAAGGAAATGTAAGTGATGTGTGGTACTGTATCTGACCACAATGAGCATTCATTCTATTGAGAACAGAACTATATTGAAACAGAATCATCTTCCAGATAGTCCATCAGGTGGTGATGCAATGCATATCAGGTAGATGTGGAGTTTTGTCTTAAGACTGTCCTTCAAGTAAGTCCACAGGTTTAGCCCTTGGGAATAATATTGTATCCATGCTACATGTCATTAATAGCCTATTTCTGTAAATGAAACATCTGTGGTTGACTGAAAAACAACAAATATATTTCATGATAAATAAAACTGACAAAGCAACTGTACTAATATAAAGGGGACAAAGCTGTGCCGACTCTGAGATGCTTAGAAGGATTCTCTCACAAAAGAGTCTAATGAACTGAACCATCAATATTTCAACTCTCAGCAGAGGTAATCTGGTACATTACATATAAAAATAAAAGCTTAAAATTAATAAGAGTAAAACAGCAAAAACCTATTAAGGGTTTGCCTTGTCACACTTAACCGTAGGTGCAATAGAAAATGGAAAGAAAGAAAGAAAGACAGAAAGAAAGAAAAAAGGTTTCTGCAGGTCCTAAAATGTCTTAATTTGACCTTCCACAAATTAAGGCCTAAAAAGGTCTTAAATTAGAGCAAAAAGTATTAAATTCATTAAGTCATTGCATTAAATTTTACATGCTTGAAAAAAAAATCTATATTTTCCTCAGTATTTTTGTTTTGTTTTCCAATACAAATATCTAAACATCCTTAAATCATAACACATTCGCTTGGGATGCAAATTTAACGTGAAGTCTAGTTTCCTGAGAAACTGAACAAAATTAAGTGAGTTTATGCTTAAAACAAGAACAACCTGTCAATGGGGTATGAAAACGTGTTTTCCTTTTGAATTAAGTTGATATTTCTGAGCCCATTGACAGATATTTGTTCATTTTAATCAAACTTAATTTAGATCAATTTCTCATAAAACAAGACTTCTTATTTTATGTCATTATGCTTGTCAAGTAAATGATCTTTAGACATTTGAGCTGGAAAACAAGATCAAAATACTAAGTAAAAAACATCACTTTTTTTTGCAGTGTGATCAGTAGATACAGTAAAATATTTCAGTGGTTGGAAGCAGAGGTATTCAAGCCATAAGCTTTTGTTTGTTTGTTTGCTTGGTTTTGTAAAATGAATTAAAAAGTAATGGAGACCTGTTAAAATTTGTATCGTCAAACTTTGAAACATTGCTAATACAAGACAATTACATTGAGAGTCAATATTGATGTATTGTGTTCCATTCAATTTATTTACTTGGTTTACTTCTTTACTTGGTCTTAAATTCACCTTTATAAAAAACTGCAGAAACCCTGGATGGAAGGAAAGAAGGAAAGAGAGAAAGCAAGAAAGATGTAATGGAGGAGATTGGGAAGACAGAGATGAAAAAGCAGCACAAACGCACCAAAAGCAGAATGTCACAAAACCGCCCACATGACTCCAGCAACCTTCATCTTCACAACAGAGCCAGATGGATGAAGTCAAAAGATTCAATGACTCTTATACGCCTACTGATGCTGGATCAAGATATTACAGATATCTATAAAATAAATAAAAACTTAATCCAAACTGCAATCCTAAAATTGCACACAAATAAATAAAGAACTAAATAACACAGAAACATGGTCTTAAGACACGTTGCTGCCCATGAAAAGTAAAATATACAAAGTTTGATGTTAACTGGCTTGCTATTTGTTAAACTGTGAATATGATATTGACAAAGACGTCGTCTTATAAAAATATTCAAGTAACACGGAAGGATGCTTTCCATACAAAGCAAAAGAAATTAGAGATAAATATATTCAAATGCAAATAAAAAGCACTCCACATCTTTTCTTTGGAAAAACAAAACCAGGTACACAACAAAATATACATCCAACACCAGTATGAAGGTGTTTAAACAGTCAGAAAAGTGGAACAGCGCTTATTTCCCTGTAAACAATTAAAGCTTATTAATGTCATGAGCAGTTTTCACCTCACCAGCACTGGCTAACACAGCAAGATCAGTACAATTATTTATTTTATCATTCTTTGCTGTGTTTGGTCAAAACTTAACATAAAAGTCTGATACCACTTTTAAAATTTGGGATTCAAAAATCTCTATAACATGGAACTAAAAGTTTTCCGATGTTGAAATACAAACAAAGACTAAATTAACAAGAAACAACTAAGAGATCTTCCGTATTTTAATTTGTCTTTTTAATTTTTCAAATTGAATTATGTTGATAACATAATTTGTAATTAAAATATTTTGACTATATTTATAATTATTAAATAAATATAGTAAATAAATAATATAAAACCAATACAAATTGTTTATATTTTACATTATTATTTTAATTAGTATGAATTATTAAATTGAAATAATAAAATTGATTTATTTTAATAGTTTTTTTTTAAACTTATTTTACTAGTGGTTTCAGATGTTTTCATTCTTTATACATATACACACACACACACACACACACACACCAGTGCTTCTGAGGTGATTAACATGACAACTCCCTTCACAAGCAATGTTCCTCCCACAGGGCTGGAAAGTACAGTTCTTTAAATATTTTTTTAAAATTAAATGTTTGAAAAACGATTACATTTTCTGTTATTTACATTAACTTAATATTTGTTAACATACTCATTTTCTATTTTAGATTGCATAGCGCCAACACAATTTAAAGTGCCCCTATTATGGGTTATGAAAGATTCGTATTTTGGTTCTGGGAGTCCCCAACAACAGGTTGACATGCATGCAAGGTCAAAAACCACTTTAATTGTCTTATAATATGCATTTATTTTTACCTTACTTGCTCAACGACTCCCAAACATTCGCTCAACGATTCATTTTTCCAAACCCCTCCTTTGCGTGACGCTAATCTGCGGTGATTGGTCCGATTGGTCGATTTCATTTCCATTTCATATGCCTGTAATGCCTGATAAAGCAGCGTTTGTGAGAGCAGTGCTGCTTTGTGTACAGCGTTACCGGGGAAACCGCTATTTTTACCGCTCCCAAAGCGGCACCTAGTGGCAAAGAATTAATTTGCATTTTCAAGTTTTCACGGGTCTGCGCGCAATATGCTAATGTCACTTTCAGATTTAAAACTTTTCAGGATGTTTTCATTCACTTAGAGCTGTGTTACACACTGCATGAAAGGTAATTTTCAAAAATCAATAAT